GAATCAGTGTTTGTGCTCGGAGTTGACAAATCATGTGTATTTGGCAAAAGACTTCAGCTTAAGCTTCATGTTTAAAAATGGTACAATAGACAATTCTCTTCGAGCAAATTATCCACCTTAAATATACGAGACATATAACCACACGTATTAGGAGGTGACTGTCAATAGGCAAATGTTCAACATGGATTTTTGGTTATGTCGACACATAGTATTCCACTTACTCCAGTCTTGGGTTTGTTAAGTACGACGATGTAGTAGACTATTATCGTTTAAATACGATATCGGAGAGCATGACGAAAAATATCAACACAGTTCTATGACACATGAAATGACTTCAAAATTCCAATAGTCAGCCATTAGCTCCGATCTTTGGTCACATCGTTTTACATACAGTGTCATACAAATGTTGTGTTTATTGAGCAAGGTTCCACGTTTCAAACTCTTACTAAGGCTCCAAAAATATATTTGCTACAGGTTCACGTTTCGCAGTTACTTTAAAGTCATTGATGACTGGATGAAAGCCTGGATGAAAATCGATAAGTATAATAAATGACTTCGTCTGGGGTATAAACCAAGTTTATTTTGTTTTCTCATCTTTATCTGGAATGTGGAACACATATCACGGAATGAGAAACCCTGTAAGCCTCAAGTGCCACCGTGCTTACAGACGTCAAGTTGTCATCGTGAAGTTGTCATTTACGTTTAAAACTAAACATAATTTGCATCACAGGCGACATGTTTACGATGAGGGTTATCACATGTGTCATTTTCATTGGAGTAGATTTTCGCTTTATTGTGTATATCAAACAAACACTTCTACTTAAAGTCTTTCATCGGTGTAGGGAATGTTCAGATGGTAACGTGGGATGTACAAGGGAATACGGGTGATCAGTTTAGAGGGTTCCCAGATCGGAACATACATTCACAAGGAACATACATTCACAAGGGACATACATTCACAAGGGACATACATTCACAAGGAACATACATTTACAAGGAACAGACATTCACAAGGAACATACATTCACAAGGAACAGACATTCACAAGGAACATACATTCACAAGGAACAGACATTCACAAGGAACAGACATTCACAAGGAACATACATTCACAAGGAACATTCACAAGGAACATACATTCACAAAGAACAGACATCAATTCTTCCTCGCAGCTCATCCGTTGTTCCGTTGTATGAATCACTGACCGTCAGTATAAATATAAACATAGAAAGTCTGAATGATTCAAGTATTTGGTAACATAAAGTTAGTTGGCCTTCATTAACAATCACTTGCAATTTGTTATGTAGATTATAGACAAACTTTATTGATCAAAAAACTTCTATATTTCGTGAGTGCGACTTTTCGATACAGATGTGTGTATTCCTGCTTGACTACGGTACAAGAATATGTACGAAATGTCTCACTCACGTCCTGCTTGACTACGGTACAAGAATCTGTACGAAATGTCTCACTCTCGTCCTGCTTGACTACGGTACAAGAATCTGTACGAAATGTCTCACTCACGTCCTGCTTGACTACGGTACAAGAATCTGTACGAAATGTCTCACTCTCGTCCTGCTTGACTACGGTACAAGAATATGTACGAAATGTCTCACCTACGTCCTGCTTGACTACGGTACAAGAATCTGTACGAAATGTCTCACTCACGTCCTGCTTGACTACGGTACAAGAATCTGTACGAAATGTCTCACCTACGTCCTGCTTGACTACGGTAAAAGAATCTGTACGAAATGTCTCACTCACATCCTGCTTGACTACGGTACAAGAATCTGTACGAAATGTCTCACCTACGTCCTGCTTGACTACGGTACAAGAATCTGTACAAAACATCTCACTCACGAAATAAAGAAGTTGTTATCCATAAAGTTTGTCTATATTGTACTTTCCAACTTCTAAAAAGTCACTCAAAGAAGTTATGTAATGCAGATATCAACGAACATGTCTGTGAACTAGAACATATCTCTGAGGCCTATCTATCATCATCGCCTTCATAAGGCTCCCACCAGTATGCTTACTGTCGTCTTGACTTAATCCGTTTATCATTCTTAACTTGTCTGGTGAAGACTCGATTGTTGTAACGGGCTGTAGTTGTATACCTGTAATACCGCTGTGCGGCGTTAGGAGACAACCGAATCATCAGTTTCATATGATTGGTTTGTACCCTGCACCTGTTTCAGCAGATACTCGGGGCTGCTTATTGTGTAACGTCAACGAGTTTTGTCTAAGATGCATAAGTTTCGGTTGTGACAGGAAGGGTTGTTGTTAGGTTACCTGCTGACTCAGCAGATTACGGGTTCCGTCCCACAACATCCCTGCAAGTCTCGAGTACTTACACACTGACATATACACAGCGACGTATTCATCATCACTGCTTGTAGTCGACAACGGCAGTCTGGTTGTACAACCCTCTGACACAGTCCATCAGTTGTAGGGGATCTAGGACATATCAGCCCAGCAATTGTCACTTGGAGGTTAACGACCCAGATCCCTCAAAACACAAACAACTGTCCCCAACAAATAATGGATGACCTTTGATGTCTTTTAATGTCCTCAATGTACATGTGTATGAAACGGAATAATACAACAAACTGACTAGTGATTGTCTTCATCTACATTATATTCTTCATATATCCTTTTTACGAATTATTATGCTTTAAGAAATGTGCTCAGCCAAAACATTACCATGAAGCAAGCATAGTTACGGCAGGTGTATTTATCAGAGTTGACATGTTTACAAGTATTACCAGGTGTTTCCCTGTTCACCGACGTATCGATGCATCACTAATTTCCACCTGGCTATCGGTCACAAAACGCCTTCACACGGATCGATTCACACATGCGTCAAAAGTTTTCAAAACGTGAAATGTACGGCAATAGCTACAGAACACTGTGGAGATTTCTCATAATTGTTTTAATGTGAATAAGAGCAACAGAACCCTTCCATAGCAACATGTAATCTATTCTATAAATGCAGAGTAATCTCTACGGTTCCGGTCATATCATTAGCATATGTGGATGAATCACTCTTAAATACTGGTGACACCAGGTGTTCGGGAAAATATGGTTTATCCTGCCCTTCAAATAGTACACGTAACAAGCACACATACAGGCAAGTCAATCGTTAGCGGAATATATACGGGAATTTATTGCTCCAGTCGAGAAGGGATTTGGATAGGACACCATTTAAGTCACTGATGCGTCAAGTTTGGAAATGTCCTCCGCATGTCTACCCCAATATTGTGTCTGGTGTCAGAGTACGGAATATGTTGTTGGAATCTACTAAAGGGTAAAAGAAGATATACGCTTTGACAGTTGTCCAAACAATTCAAACGTTATCAAAACATTTCTTGGCTGATGAAAATATTACAAAAAGTTATCGAAAGGTTTCTACGCTTACATTGTCGCTGAAACACTGTAAACTTTGGCCAAAATATTACAAATGTTATCAAAACATTTCTAGACTTAAAACTGACTCAAGATCCTGAAATACCCATGTCGAATACATCAGCAACGATAAACATTTATTTTTCAGACTCCATCAAAAATCCGTGTCAGCTTACTTTTGCCTGGCGGTTATATTACATCCATGTCAAAGTCAAAGTCAAAAGATGTTTATTGTATGAAAGGCCTCCGGCCCATATACATGAGAGTTACAGTGATAAAGGAATATTCTGGATATTTACATATATATTTAAGGGTATACAATTCGCTTTATTAGAAGATCTCTTTTAGCTAATGCATATTTTATATATAAGGACAATTGAGCAAGAATATTTTCATTATTGGTTTGTAACAAAGATATATATGCATAATGGGACTGCTTTGCACATCCTCTAATCTCTGGATTATATGTACAATCCCCAACACAATATATTATGCATAATGCAGAATATGTATCTCGCTAATGTTTTTAACCATTACGAAATTATATTGGGTGTGTTTGAGAAATGTTCCTCTGATCTGTTACATCTTACGATGAGCCTTAAGGACAAAGATCCCTGCACTACCGAATGCCCTACCTGTACAACTTTTACCAACAACAAGGTGCTACCTGGCGTCTGGCAGTACCGCCTTTGTTGTTTCCAAAAGCTGTTAACAATATACTCAATTTTAAATGTGTTATTGTAAAATGTCATTCAAATGCATAATTATCCCATAAAATGGCACAATAACACTTTCTCAAATTGAAATAGGAAGACATGTACATGGTTTCGCCTTAAAATGTGGAATTATCGGCTTAAGTTTTAAGTGCTCCTAAAGCATACCGGATACCGCCATTATTGTTTTTGTTTACTGCTACAAGTGCGGCCGATCCCACCTGATGAGCACATCCAGTGAATATTTATCACGAATTCCAAAAGATTTCATAACACTTGAAGTCGGTGAGGAGGCCAAGATGGAAAACCATTCGCCAGTGCCGCCGTTCACACGGGTTCGCTTCCCAACATGGATACAATCTCTCAAACCCATGTTTCGTTCACCTGTGCTAAAAGTGTTGTAACAGTCTGCTCACGTACAGCTCACTCAATGGTAAAGAATGTGTTTTTCGTATAATAAAAGAATTTACTTAGGGATATTAACTAAACCAACATTAATCAAATGTAATAAACAGAGAAAACAGGAAGCAAGCCAAACAAACAAAGCAAACAAACAAACAAAAATAATAAGAATCTTGTCTAGGAACCTTATGTCTCCTGCTATGCATGTTCCTTCAACGTTCATGCTTTTTTCTCGACAATGTTTTGAGTCACTGTAAACGCGTTGGGTCTAACAAAACACGATTATTTAAAGGATACCAGCTGTTAGTGTCTCGGTACCAGTGCCAGACACATCTCTTGGCAACTTTCTGGACATGTATTTGTGTACTTCAGACCTGTGACCTACACAGCGGATTCCTATGCTCTATATGCATTGAAAGTAATCGATATCCGACACAACAGCAATACGGAATTATTATGTGTGATATATGCTGTCTCCAGGGTGAAATGGTACGACAGTGACTGCAACTCCAAGGCCGCGCTCACCTCCGCCGTCGACGCCAAGAGCACGTTTGACCCACATCTCTTCCTTGGACCCCCGTGTTCCAAAGGTAGGAACAGCTATATTGGGGACCTCTGTGTTCCACAGGTAGGAACTACTATAAAGTGAGACCTCTGTGTTCCAAGGGTAGGATCAGCCATAGATTGAGACATCAACAGGTAGCAACAGATATATAGTGAGACCTCTGTGTTCCAAAGGTAGGATCAACTTTTTATGTGCATGAGATTTTGGTGTGAATGTAATTATAAGTTTTAGCACACTGCTTTCATATTATTAACAGTACATAACGCTTTAGCCGTTTGAAAGGCAAACTGCCTCACGGTAGAGGTTTCCAAAAGAGATACAGGTAATTCAAGGTATCAGATGAATTTATATTGCTACAAAAATGAGTTCTAAGAAACGCACGAAAACACGTTTGAGGACATTCAAGAAACACCTGTATATATGAAGTCTCTACCTGCAGCCCAGCGTCAGGCAATACATCAAAGACAAACTTTCCTACACGCATAACCTTGAAGCACCTGTCTGTCACGAGAAACACTGACACAGCGACGTGTACTGATGACACCAGGAACAAACGTCTTGTCTTCTTTGTAAGAAAATGCAAAGGATCAAAAGAGTTAATTAGTTACTTCCAAGAATAATCTCAGACAGAAGGACAAAGTTATGTCACGTGTGCAGCAGCTCACGACCGGTCATAAGAGACATCCATTATACAGGCAATCCTGCATCCACTACATGTACCACGATGTGGGTGACGTAACTGCATTTGTACTTGACAGTCTTGCACAATAGTTCACAGTACACAGTTGGTAATCGTTAAATGTATATATTTTAGTCACTAATGCGTCTTGGTATTTGTGGCTATCTGATAAACAATGTGAGGAGGGTTTTATGCCTGTAGTACATGTACCTCTGTGTTCCGCAGGTAGGAGGAGCAACATAGTGGTATCTTTGTCAATGCGTTGTAGCCCCTGATAAATAATGTGAGGAGGGATTGCTGAAGCCTAACTTTGAAGGATAGATTGAAGAAGTTGGTGGTTCATTATTTGTCAACAGCCAACTCAGTACAATCTAACTGCCAAGATACTGGAGGGCCTTGCTCCCACTGGTGGAGAAGAGATCTTCGTGTAAAGTCCTCCACAGTGGAGGTGGAAATGTTAGAGCCAGAGAATACCCAGTAACGATGATGCCTGTTGGAATATACTGGGAGATTGTGTACTAAGTTTCTATACAACCTATGAGCATGAAAGGTATCACTGTTGAACCAACTGCCACCATACCTGCAACTGTCTCCTCCCACTTCACCTGTCCTTATCATTATGTCTAGAATACAGTTGGGTCTCCTGGTTATACAGGTCTCCAGTAACAGGACAGCTTCGCTTGACATTGAGGGCAATGTCTCAGGTGGTTCTCCTTCAGGCAGTCACGATGACCACACCGATAAGTTGATGTGAGATTTAACTCACAAAGGTGTGTGTTTGTTATCACCGCAGAATTCGATGGATGAAATAGCTAATATGTTGACATAGCTTCTGTTGCAAGCTGCCTGCTTCAATTTTGTTCAATTGCCAAGGATGATTTACCCCAAGCATAACGATACTAACTGTGTTCATGTGACGTTCTTTACCTCCAGGCATGCGGCCCGTGGCTCAGCTGGCGTCCCACTGGAACATCCCCGTCTTCGGCTGGGTCTCCAACGACCACGACCTCAGAGACAGGGACATCTATTCTACTCTCATCAGACTTCTTGGACCCCTGAACCAGTTCTGTAAGTACACAGGACACCGATATGCAACTTAACGTGATTTCACCAGTGTATGTATTCCTCTGTCATTGACTTCAACGTTAGACATTCTGGTTAAATGAAACAAAATAAACTATCTTGGTCCCACAGTATGATTAGTATGCTTGTTTTCTTACCAGCCACGACGATGCGTTACGTCTCCAGTATGTTCAACTGGAAGCGTTTCGCCATGATCCACGACAAAGACGGGTCCTACAAGTCGGTGTATGAAGCTCTGGCCAGTGACACCACCAACTTCTTCACGTCCACACACTCTGTGACCCCCAGCATGGACGACGAAGAGGTCAAAGAAATATTCCTCCAGGTCAAGAAGTACGCCAGAAGTGAGTGATTCTAGAGAATGAATATGCCTCTTCCTTCGAATGCCACCTCACAAAGACATGCAGGTAGTAATGGTGCGTCAGCTAACACACATTTGAGAGTAGTACACATGTCAGTGACAGCTCAGGCTGCCAGCTAACACACATTTGAGAGTAATACACATGTCAGTGACAGCTCAGGCTGCCAGCTAACACACATTTGAGAGTAATACACATGTCAGTGACAGCTCAGGCTGCCAGCTAACACACATTTGAGAGTAATACACATGTCAGTGACAGCTCAGGCTGCCAGCTAACACACATTTGAGAGTAATACATGTCAGTGACAGCTCAGGCTGCCAGCTAACACACATTTGAGTAGTAACACACATTTGAGAGTAGTACACACATGTCAGTGACAGCTCAGGCTGCCAGCTAACACACATTTGAGAGTAGCTAACACACATTTGAGAGTAATACACATGTCAGTGACAGCTCAGGCTGCCAGCTAACACACAGTAATTGAGAGTGACAGCTCAGGCTGTCAGCTAACACACATGTCAGTGACAGCTCAGGCTGCCAGCTAACACACATTTGAGAGTAATACACATGTCAGTGACAGCTCAGGCTGCCAGCTAACACACATTTGAGAGTAATACACATGTCAGTGACAGCTCAGGCTGCTAAATAATGCTACTTATTACTGACGGGATTACCTTCTAGGTTGGTAAACCCAGAGACATGAGGTGAATGATTTGAAGTCAACTGACAGCATGGTTGGCCTGGGGAACTACTGTTGCAGTGTGCTACCATTTGCAATATTTAGATGAGTACATGCTAAGATCGAACATGGTTTCCTGATTACCAGACATTAGTTCCTCCACTTGACAGATGATGAGAATAGTCATGACTGTACCTTTAATCCATGGGAAAAAACGTTCATGTTATGTTCCGTGTTGCCAGTCATCATCTTCGCCGTGCCGTGGTTGACGATGAGGAAGTACATCCTGGTAGCTCACCGACTGGGGCTCACGACGGGGGAGTTCGCCTTCATCTGCATCAACGGAGATGTGAGTGTCACGTATACACGTCACTACTGCTAAATGCCATATATTTCTATCGCACATGTAGTTATTTGTCATGTCACTACTGCTAAATGCCATATATTTCTATCGCACATGTAGTTATTTGTCATGTCACTACTGCGAAATGCCATATATTTCTATCGCACATGTAGTTATTTGTCATGCTGCGTTAATATATATTTACTGTTTGAAACCCCAAAACTTGTTTTTCATGCTTATGTTCTGAATGGTAATATTTCGTCTTTAGAATAAATACCGTCAGCTTCTTTCAAATTGTTTTGCAAAACATCGGAGTGAGAAATGCATTTATTGATAGCTTCATGTGAATACATTTGCCTCTTTTCAGGTGTATTCGGGCGAGACGCTCGAGGCAGATGTTTTATCAGACCGTGTGTGGCGACGAAACGATTCCTTTGATGAAGAGGCGAAGTTTGCATTTGAGTCCGTGATTCATGTACGTATTCTATGGTGTTACTTCTCACAGACAGTTAATAACCAGTCAGCTCCTATAAGCGTCAGACATGACAGAGTTGCCACATGGCGATTGTGGCCACATGTTCACGTGTCAATGTGTTCTCTCCCCAGGTGATTCTTGTTGGGCAGGAACAGCAGACTTACAAGAAGTTCAAAAACCACGTTCAGAAGATGGATGCAGTGACGAACGAGTTGTGGGATATTCCTCAAGGTTCTGACGTATGTACTTCACTTGTTCTGCATTTCTTATACGCATAGTGCACTGAACGGTATTTTGGTAACATTATCACCGTGAGATATATACCGCTCTGTGTGATAACTTTATCGTTGCCATGTGTGATAACTTTATAGACACATTGCATACTAATTTCGTTTCTCATCTGCATCATAGCGTAATTCGTGCTCTGTGTATGAATTAAAACATCACAGCATAACTACAATGTGACACAGGCATCTGGAGACCATCCTCTGTCTAGTTACATGTCGTTGTACCGCACGGTAAGACGGAAAGCACAAGTCGTGGTTATTTCCAGGCTGTGCGATACTTAACTCATTCATTGTATTCATGACTATTCAGTGAAATAAATACGTCATTAACGTCACATCCATGTACGTTATATCCCCGCTCCTCTCATCTCCAGCAACTGGACGCCTACGCCCCCTTCTTGTATGATGCCACGGTGCTGTGGGCGATCCTAGTCAACCGCTCCATTGTGTTGGGAGGCGATCCAAAAAATGGCAGCCACATGTTCTCTATGGCACAGGGCGTACAGACGATTGGTGAGAGCGAATTCCTCACAAAGGTTGTATCTCTTTGTTTTGACGTCAGGTGTTGTGAACTTGTCCGTGACTAATGCAGGATATGTGCCAGAACCCAGCTTACATTACGTTGTAATAAATGGATTGGTGTTGATATTCGAATGTCATAGGAAACATTGCTAAACTATTTATACATAAATAGCTTACCCGTGCTCATTTATATTCGTTGTATACGGAGTCAGGAATTCGATTTACGGATTCTATCGACATTAGCACCAAAAAAAAAAAACATTCAGAAAATACAACAAAAATCCTTTAAACTATTTATATACGTAAGACATTCATACAACAAGGGTTGACCTCGTGGCACCAGACATGTTTCTTGCTTTGTTGTGAATGCCTGTAACCCTTCCTTCCTGTACCTGTTTCTACCCCGGGCGAGGTCACCTATACATTATTCAGTGTACAGTATTCCTGAAGCCGCCCTGCATATTGCACTGGGACGTGTTTTACACTTCAGGTGTGACGGCTAATTTGGTTCTTGACAACTTCTGTGACCGACTGGTCAACATTTGGCTGCTTGACATGCAGCAAGACGGCAATTTCACCACCATCACCGAGATCTACAACACCCTCAACGGCGGAATGGTGTTTTCGGTAAGATCAGAACGCCCACTATTAAAGGCAATACGAAGGGAAAATCGAACGCATGATAAGGTGGCAGAAAACGGCTCTAAATTGAGTCAGTTGCCTTAAGTGTCAGCAGCAATATGGAACAAGGTCTGTAAGATATGTCATTAGACTTTCGAATCTCCACAATATGTCACTGACGTAGGTCTTTAATCAAACCTTTCTGGGTTCCTGAATCCGTAAAAGTGTTAGAAGATGGCAGGAATGAGATACGATACTCAGACAAAACCTTATTCCGTCGTGGATACTTTCTAGAAACTGCCCCATCATAAAACCTCTCGAGTCAATCCTTACGTTTGTCAACAGGCAATAGTATCAGTGTTAAATATTCTTGTTTCCACTTCAAGACACGCCTCTGTATCGGCGCGCTTTAATCATATCCTGATACCGACAGCCATCTCTAGATCTCTAGATAACAATCTCGTGATAACAATGAACGGGCAGTTAGGTATGTGTGTCAATCTCTATTGAATATGGGCACGTAAAACAGCTAAATGGATATACCTCACACATACAATGGAGTTTAATATTTGGAATGAACCTGGCTGGGACTGCAAGGTGGACGTGGTAAGTCTGGTATGTCTTCTGTGGGGTTTCATCACTATATCTTGTATTAATTGTGTTCCTGGCAGAAACTGGAGAAGACGATCAGTGTGAGATGGCCCGACGGGAAGGTGGGGCAGGAGAACGCGCCACCAGACATACCCACCTGCGGCTTTGAAGGGGAGAAATGCCGTAAAGGTGCCCACGGTGTTGTCATTCTGTCAGATAGTTGTCTCTATGTTAATGCAACCAAATACGTATTTGAACTTAAACTAAAAAAAAGAAGTACTGTCGGAAATAGAAAAAATTTTTTTTCACATTTATATCTACAATTTAGGTAGTAAATATGTGAAAGTGTGAAATATCTGTTAAACTAAGTTCGGCCTAACTACAGTCGCAGTGGGAGGGAGATAGGAAATGTAAAAGAAGGATTTTACTGAGGAGAGATTAGTGCAGAAATGAGCAATGCGGGTTTTTTCTATGTCCAATGCGATTTATTCAGAACAGACCATGGCTTTATGCAAATTATTGTATTACAAAGGACACTTTTTAAATGATCTTTTTGAAATTTGACTTAGCTTCATTATAAACGATAGCAGACGTAAAAAATAACAATTTTAATACTGAAACTATTAAGGATGTAGCTACCATGGCGTCTCACTATCATTAAAAAAAGAAACAGGTAGGAGGGGTCGTCTCAAAAGCAAAACCAGGACGGGTGTCGCAGACGGTGGTTGGGGTCGGGCTGGGGAACTGAGATATTAGCTAAGATAAGATAATCAATAGAGACATATTCAATACACATAAAAAAACATAAAATATCTTTGAGATGACCCCTTGTGCCTGTGGGCAGCACGTGCATTTCATGCCATGTGAGTCGACGGTCCGTCGTCATACCTGGCTGAGCGACCTAATTGCCATCTATAGTCTGATCTATTGTTTTCAGCAGCTATTCGTATTTTTCTGTTTTGCCCGATTTTACGAGTAAACATGCTTTTCTGGATATCCTATTACGCATCCCCCTGAACGCCCAGTTAGGCCGATGTGGGTTATTTCGACATATGCTATTTGCAATTGTGTAAATTTCAGTGATACAGAGTAACAGCCTAAAACATGAATTTTTCTATTTCCGACAGTACTTTAGGCTCCCCAGATACTGGACAAAGCGTCTTTAGGCGAATCATTCAACAACAACCTGTCTGTGATATATACATGGAATGACATGGGCATCATGAAGTAACTGAATGACTCCATTCCAACAATATCAAGGCAGGAAAACCAGACATGAACCTCACGAACTGTAACCTTCAGTAAAGTGAACACTCTGCCCACTAGGCTACCTCATCATCACACGTTATACGCATCACAGTTTCCGCATAGTGTTAGAAGCAAATAACCCAGTCTTCTATTTCTCAGAACCTGACTCCAGCGAACTCGGCTACGCTGACACCATCACGGGGGCGGCGGCAGGGTCGTCAGTCGTCCTCATCATCGCCATCGCCGTGCAGGTGTCACTCAGGTGAGCATCTCCTTCTGCAGTCCGCCTGCACAATAAACATTTGGTTCAACATCTGGACATGCATATATTTATTTTTAAAAATGTGATGTTCTTCAGACGTTACCGACGTCGCCGACAGCTGGAGAGTATGTTGTGGCAAGTGAAGTTTGAGGAGATCGACTTCGTGACGGCCATTCTCTGTGGCAGCGTCAGGGTAGGTAACTCCTGTTGATGTAATCGGTAAAATATGTCTTATGTGTTCTAAGACTGTGTTTACAGTTACCAGCTATGTAAAGACTTGTTGAGTAGCCAGGGTTTGTGACACAGTGACGAATGTTCAATGTAACGTCTGCTGTCTATTTGTTTAGTGCTTGGTCTGTAATACATTAAATCAGCTAATGGTTCCAGTTACCCAGGATGCATCTCGATGAAATATTTTCGGGTTCTTCCAATGATGATTATTATAATTATGAGTATTACACAGAACACAAGATATTAATGATACCAATATCTTTATGCAATCAATCGCTGCTTGTTTCCAGTCCAGCTTCAAGAATTTAGCCCGTCGGTGGAATTCTAAAACCCCTAAGGGAGTGACGAAGGCACGCGATGTTGTGAGTTGTGCTGATTCCTACACAGACTCCCCACGGTCATTTCACTGTATGGAGACTGGCACCACCATGTTTGGTTCCGTCGCCTACATCAGAGGTAGGAACTCCGTCGATGACGGACCTTGCTATTTGGGAGAAAATACGTAGTCTAAGTTATCTTGGAATCGAATTCCAGTAAGCTTTACATTATGGTACAAGCTTTTCTCCTACAGTGACAACTTGAAACATTGATAAAAGGATTGAACTTACTCACTTACTCCAAAATGGTATATATCACTGCTGGGTTTTTTATACCAGGAAGTCTGGTGTCCGTCAAGAGAATGTCCAAGAACAGTGTCAGCCTGACCAAGGATGTTCTCCAGGAACTCAACCAGGTTTGTTTTCTATCCTGTTCGTTTCCAATGATAACCTCGATAACCTGGACCCTCGCTTAACGGACCATTAACGTTCGGGACGTGTCAAATCATCCAATTATAGTTGCTTCGTAATTAGTGTTTGTATATTCAGAAGAGCGTTGATCCGGACGTTTCCACTTGGAAATGTCCTGTTTAACTGGCTGCGGGTTGTGCTCGCTACATGGTGTCCAGTCCACACAAACAACATCAATGACACACGTGTTTGTTCTAGTTGATGGAACTGAAGAATCAGAACGTCTGTGCGTTTGTTGGCGCATGCGTAGACCCAGGAAGGATTTTGCTGCTGTGGGAATATTGTGCGAAAGGCAGCTTACAGGTACTGTACCATTAGGGGACAATAGTCTGTTGGTCATACACTGTATGTACTATACTATGGGGATGCAGATTTCACGGTCAAGTATTATGATGTGGACAAAAGCTTATAATTTCTGAGTACCAGTAATATACACAAAGACAAAACAAGTCTGTTTCCTGGCCACCCTGAAAGCCCGGTTCGCCATTGCTTCAGTGTTTATTTATTTGTGGAACATTGCAAGGTACTTTCGTCTCTTTCGTTTCTCTCGTACTACTGTTCAGCTGAGCTGATTCGCTAACACACAATTTGAAATGTTTCTCCAGGCTAAACCACCGCATACACCATAACCATTGTGCTTTAAATGTTGTCAACTCTTGATATTCTCAGGACATCATCTGGAACACCAACATCAAGTTGGATCAGCTCTTCAAGTTCGCCCTGTGTCAGGACGTCGCTAAGGTAAGACGCAGGACAAAGTGAATGAGTGTTGTTTAATGCCGCAGTCAGCAATAACACGATCCACATGACGGCGTCTGTATCTGAATCTGACTTAACATGGTTCATAAAGTCCTCAAAGTAACTGGGTTGAAATACTATGTAACTGGGTGTCCACTTTATGAGGTGTATACAGGGATGAATTCTGAATATATGTATATATTTGATCTAAGGGTCTGGAATACATCCAAAAAAGTCCTGTAAATTACCATGGCAACCTGAAAAGCTCCAACTGTGTTGTGGACAGTCGGTGGACATGTAAACTCACGGACTTCGGTGTCCCTAAAATCAGGTCGATGGACAAGGCGTCGATACCCTTCGAGGAGAACGCAGACAGTAAGTGTGGTAGATGTGGTGGATGTGGGTTACTGTAGTTTTATAAAAAAAAAGTTCTTTCGGTTTGTTCAGTTTTGAACCTCAATTCTTTTTGAATTTTGAATATTATGACAATAAACATTAACATTATACAACTATTGCCATTATGTTATTTTATGAATAATATGACTCGTATTTCTGGTAAGAAAAGCCGCTGCAGCGTAATGATGCTGCTTGTGACGGTGTTGTTGGATGGTGACGGTGTTGTGGATAGTGACGGTGTTGTTGATGGTGACGGAGTTGTGGATGCTGACGTTGTGATGGTGACGGAGTTGTTGATGCTGACGGTGTTGTTGACGGTGTTGTAGATGGCGACGGTATTGTGGATGGTGACGGTGTTGTTGATGGTGATCATAATGATTTTGTTGCAGCTATGTGGAGGGCATAGTCCTCCAAGTCACGATTTATTTGACACGTTGGTGTCTGTCGAGGACGTTCTACTATTCCGACTCCACAAACAACAATGGAGCTTAATAACAAAGGCCATTCGATACCATAGATATTGGATGGTTTTACACGTTTAAGAAGTCCGATAGTGCTCCCACAATGGTGTTTTCGTCGTTTTAATAACGTTTATAGTAACGAAGTCATATTCAGAAACTCACATCAGTCCAAAGGTTAGTTCAATTTTGAAGAGTATTTCTCTGGTGTTCACCCAAACTTTTGAACAACCTCCCAACCTGGAATAAGCTGTAAACTAAGAACATTCTTTGCTTTGCTTCTATAACTAACATCATCATCATCATCATCATCATCATCGTCGTCGTCATTAGGATGGCCCCTGAGATCCTTCGAGCAGGGTCACTGTACTCAAACTATTTCAGCAGAAATATGTGTTCGACAGGAATGAGTTTATTGAGTAGGATTCCCATTATGTCACGGCGTGCAACATGTAGCTTAATGCAGGAGGAAAGCCGGAAGTGATGGAAGTCACATAAGTTTACCACGGGAATGAATAACACTGTGAACCTTGAAACATTGATAAACCGGGAGTCGAAGCCACGGTCATAGATTTCATGCGTGCCACAGGCACCCTGCTACAGCGAATCTGGGCGCCCCAGATGTCAGACCCAGCTGTGCACCTCTTACCACATTCGTCTGTTTCTCATGGTTACATATCACCAAATGTTTCCCATTGACTTCTATAGTGACGTTATATTTTTTTTAAATAACCCAGGCTGTCAACAGCCATTCCATGTATACATGGGCACAGTCTGGCCTTTAAACTCCAATAAAAACTCCGGCTAACACAGGAAGCTGAACACATCAACCCCAGTTCCGCACCAAATGTCACCTACTTGAAAATATATATACACACATTAAGCATAAGTCATGGTGATAAAAATGACAGCACTAAATACTTAAAATTGTGGTCAGTTTTAATTATACTGTCCAGTGAAAGGGGCGTTAAAGCTCACTCACTAACTTATTGTATAATATGTCCAACGAGTGCAAACAAGTATTGGAGAACATCCAAATATTTCGTGTTGAACATAAGTTTACAAACATTGGCGTTCCGGTACTGTCCACATGCTAATGGAGGATACCGTGCTGTGTGCTTATGGCTCAGTTGTAACTAACATTTGTTTAAGAAAAATGATGGTGATGATGATGATGATGATGATGATGATGATGATGATGATGATACTCTAATCTTACAGAGGACCTATGGACCGCCCCTGAGATCCTCCGAGCCGACAGGAATGTGGATTTTCAGAAGGCGGATATATACGCCATTGGTGTCATCATGAAGGAAGTGTTCACACGGTCCGGTCCGTACACCGAGTACCCCTTCTTCTGTTCCTCAGGTAGGTCCGTATACCGAGTACCTCTTCTTCTGTTCCTCAGGTAGGTCCGTACACCGAGTACCTCTTCTTCTGTTCCTCAGGTAGGTAAAAACACTATCCATTAACATCTATGCCCCTTTGTCACCTTTCCCTTTATGTCCGACAATAGCTCCAGACATGATATTCCAAAGTTATCCGATCACCTTTACAGCGTGGATAACCATGGTAAATGTTTGCAGATGGCAGACTTTGGGAGGACATTTCCAAAGTTCAAGAATTTATATTCGTTTTGTTTTGTACCGTATCTGAAAGTGTGTTCCGGTTATCTTACAGCGAACACCTGTTATCATCACTATTCGATAGTGATTATTAAACACATTGCTTATCAAATAGCCAGATTCGTACAAGCGGACCGGGTAGAGATTTCATATGAAAATGCTGCTTGTTGACTTAATCAATATTTACTGGGTATGTGATCGCAGAAATTGTCCGTCGAGTTCGTGACCTTCCGTCGCACAATCGGTTCCGTCCGTCAGCAGCACGTGAGCTACGTCAACATCCGGACCTGGCAGCCCTGATCGAGGATTGCTGGAGTGAGGACCCCAGTGCCCGTCCCTCCGCCCCGAGGGTGGTCAAGTCCCTCTCCAGAATCAACCCATCCAAGTATGTACACTGACAACAGAGAACCATTTTTGTAATTAAGACAATGACCATTTTGTCATCTCCATTATGTATAAGACGTGTGGTTAGCATTCCCTGTGTAGCAAAGATGACACATGTACTCACTTAGACGATATGCTGTCGTTATGGAACATACGAATATATGACATATAAGTTGATACTTGATGGACTTTGGCATGATGTATAATATATGCTATGATTGTGCAGACACATGACTTATAATATATGCTGTGGTTGTAACGTATAATAAGATGTACAGACGATATATGCTGTGGTTGTACAGTCCATATATGCTGTGGTTGTACAGACACATAACGCATAATATATGCTGTGCTTGTACAGACACATCGTATGACGTATAATATATGCTGTGGTTGTACAGACACATGACGTATAATATATGCTGTGGTTGTACAGACACATGACGTATAATGTACGCTGTGGTTATAAGACACATGACGTATGCTGTGGTTGTACAGACACATGACGTATAATATATGCTGTGGTTGTACAGACACATGACGTATAATTATGATATGCTATTCTTGTACAGACACATGACGTATAATATATGCTGTGGTTGTACAGACACATGACGTATAATATATGCTGTGGTTGTACAGACACATGACGTATAATATATGCTGTGGTTGTACAGACACATGACGTATAATGTATGCTGTGGTTGTACAGACACATGTACAGATTCTTACATAACGCATAATATATGCTGTGGTTGTACAGACATGACGTATAATATATGATACGCATGTACAGACATGACGTATTATATATGTTGTGGTTGTACAGACATATGACGTATAATATATGCTGTGGTTGTACAGACACATGACGTATAATGTATGCTGTGGTTGTACAGACACATGACGACACATGATAATGTATGCTGTGGTTGTACAGACACATGACAGACACAGACGATGATCGACAACATGATCGCCATGTTGGAGAAGTACGCCAACCATCTGGAGGAGCTTGTGGCGGAGAGGACGAGTGAGTTGGACGCGGAGAAGAGGAAGACGGAGAACCTGCTGTACCGGATGCTACCACAGTGAGTGACGCGTGTAGCTAGTTGTGTTTTGTTGTGTAGCTGCGGAATCCAGTACAAAGATTAAAGAATGGCCCTAGAGTAAAGAGTTCCATCTGCTAGTTGAGACAGTGGTTAATGCTGACTGTTGCATCCCCTAGGTCCGTGGCGGAGGACCTCAAGTTGGGTAAACCAGTGAAAGCGGAGATGTTTGACCAGGCAACGATATACTTCTCCGATATAGTGGGCTTCACCAAGATCTGTGGCGAGAGCACACCCATTGAGGTAAGGCAATGCGTCCCACGAATACACACAACATCACAAGTAGTTTTCAGTTGCCTACATTATGAAATAATGATGTCACAGAAGAATAACCGATGTTTGTTGCACGTCCTGGCCCTTTTAATACATATAGGCTATGACATGCTCATTGAAAAATACGATATATAATTCAGATACCAGGAAAACAAAATATGATGTAATCTCAAAGCTCCTCACAGCACTAAGCCCGGAGCTCTCGATACCGTCGCTGCCGCGTGTCACAGCTCCCTACCCTTCTTGGTGGCCTCCAACCAATCAAAACGTTCATTTCCTAACTGCCCGACGAGACTAACGCTTAGTCTCTGGGTATATATAATGTTTATAGAAACGAACAATTCCTTTTAAATTGGAAAGGAGCCCCACAGAGAAGGGAGATTCAGAACCTGGGGAATTTTGGACTTTACAGAAATGGATCCACAGGAGGGAAAATAATGCAGCTCAGGGACTGTGAGACAGACAATTGTCTGACGGCTTTGTTTCCATAGACATTATGTTTGTCCTGATATCAAATATTATTCCACCACCCAATGTTTTGGTTTGTTTGTTAATTTGTATTTCACTGTCAAGTAACTAGTTTAGTAAGATTGCAAGGGGAATTAAACACTTCTCCCTTAGCCTTTGATCTCAAACTAATCTGATTAAAATAAAAAAACGTATGTTCATTTGGGAAAAAAAGCAGTTCTCGAATCACTAGAATGGTAATGCATTTCAATTCCAATGGGCCGTTACATTCCGTATATCAAACAGGGTGTGGTATAATAGAGACATAACCCCTGACTACAGCATCCATGTTCTTCCAGGTCGTGAACTTCCTCAACTCTCTCTACACACTCTTTGATGACATCATCACAAACTATGACGTGTACAAGGTAGGGGTCATCGGTCTTCTTGTTTTTAAGATGATTCTTTCGTCATTTTTGTCCGCTGATGCATTTGGTTACCTGTTCTTTCAATCTATAGAATAAATATTTTTTATTTCAAACTGTACCAAGGTTTTATTAGAATCTGTTGGGGATGCAGTTGTTTTAATGTCAAATCTAAAATATGCGTCTTATCAAGGGCATTAAATGAATTATATTGTGTGAAGAGTGCTTAGTAACAGGTAATAGTAATAGTAATTCCGTCAATTAATAGAAATCAGGATTATCAGTAAACAGGATGTGTACCGAGTTTGTCAGTAAAGAGTAAACCGTTATTAATGAAGAAAAGCATTTGGATTGTCAGAGAATGTACATTAGGATTTGGGTCAACACACATTGGGATTGTCACTGAAGAACAAAGACACTGTAACAATATGGAACAAGATGTTTAGTGTAATAGATGAGCGATTCTCCTATTCACAAGGAGAAATCACAAAGGTGTAATGTGTAAAACATACATTGATGATATGAATTCTCACTCACTCACTCACTCACTCACTCCCCCTGTTTGTTTTCAGGTGGAGACAATCGGAGACGCCTACATGATAGCTAGCGGTCTGCCGATGAGGAACGGCGACAACCACATCAAGGAGATCGCCGACTGCGCCATGGACATCCTCGCCTCCACCGCCACTTTCACCATACCTCATCTACCAGACAGACCTCTCAAGATACGTATAGGTCAGTCCGGAACTTTCATAGAAAATAGTTAATAGACACAGTGAAATCTCGTTTGTCCGGAAATCCCGGGAGATTTGTGCATGTCTGAATGTGTTCAAAGGATAACACTGTGCACCAGTAACTCGTTCAGCCGGACATTCTGGAGAGGTATCGCCCGGATTGGCGGGATGTTGCTGTATAGCTGACATAACCTGCTCCTTACATGAAGAAATATAAAGAAAACTGATTGAGTGTTAAACAAGACACCCACTTTGTACTCAACAGCCCCGCTTGCATGACAATGATGATGTGTGAAAATACTTGCAGGGTTAGGAGCGGTCACTTTAAATATGGAATGACAACCATTTCCACGGCTGCATACTTCATGTATTCTTCACAGAATAGAGTCGCATATAACCATTAACCAGCTGTGTTTTTCTCTTCAGGAATCCACACAGGGTCAGTGGTTGCCGGAGTTGTGGGTCTAGCGATGCCTCGGTACTGTTTGTTTGGAGACACGGTCAACGTAGCTTCCAGAATGGAGTCTACAGGATTCCGTAAGATAACTACCGACAATATGTCATTATTTGTATTGAGTTAATAATTTGTTAAAAAACGAGAAATGAGGTTTAATGTCGCTCTTATTACACGTGTAGAGACGTTAAAGAAGAGCGCAAAGCCAGGTGACAACAAGTACCATCTTTACCGTGTTGTTATGTGACGCGGCCGGGGTTCGAACCTCTCACCTCCCATTCCCGGGAAGGCCACTTGTCAGCTCAAAGATTCAACTGAATAGAAAAGTTGGGTCAAACACTGCTTTCAAGAATAATCCAGTTGTATCAAGGCGTGTCAGCATTATGTGGGAAGTAAGGCCGATGCTGGTCAAGATAGCCACGGGTATGGCGTTGACAACCCTAGAAACAGAAGCTTGACCACCCTTGCGAATGAAGACTTCTTTGTCTGTTGGGCCACCGGTGCCGCCGGACGAAATTGAGAAGCATTCTTCCAGTTTTACTCCCACAAAAATGCATTACTACCCCCTTCAGTGTCTTTGGCAACAAAACACCAAGAGGGCTGAGGTGCCGTGCTGTGTCACGTACGGTGACCAGAAACCCGTGAAGGTGGGTTCGAATCCCAGATACGCTCTTATGTTCTTCCATGATTGACAGCACCATACCTATGTCCATTTGAAAATGGGAAAAGTTTTAGACCTGCATCAGATCGGGCTTCCTCCAGCTGTCAGCTGACAGGCATTGATGTAACTCAGACATTCACTCACAACTAGAACAATACACGATATCATTCATCATCTCATTTTAGTATATTATCTTCAAAAACTAAATTCTGGTCAATTATCAAACTTCGCTTGTATCAACCTCATGGCCACTGTAAGAGCAATATTCCGTATTTGTAAACTTACAACCGGCAATTCATTATACTGATACATTTAAGGCCAATTAACCACACATGAAAACAACCTGTAATATGTTATGTTGGACTGACATATAGTTACATACAGGTGTATGTTTCAGCCATGAAGATCCACCTGAGTTCTGCAGCCCACGACAAGCTGGTGTCCCGGTTTGCTGGTTACCACTTCTATGACCGGGGCGAGATCCCGGTGAAGGGTAAGGGCACCATGAACACCTTCTTCCTGACTGGGAGGGACGGTTTCACCAAGGTCCTGCCCGATGCTGACCAGGACGCTCCGGGGTCCCCAGAGGGAAGTGGAGGACACTGACCCCATCAAGTGGTCATCCCATCCTTCTGCCCAGTCTGTCGGACTGTGGGACGCACACTAGAGAGGTCAGCCATTCTGTTCTGGTTACCATGCCCCTAGTCACCCCTGGGGAGCGGGTGAAAGACATCCTGGAAAGTCCTTGTCATGGCAGCTGTGCCTCTCTGTCTCACGTAACGCCAGATCATGACGTGTGTTCGGCAAATCTTATGTCAAGTAGAAAGTATGTGAAATCCAGTGTTCCACGTCGGAAAGAACCGATACCTGATGTCCATGTCAATGTGGTGACGTCCAGATTCCACACAATACCCCGGGCAGCCTCACATGGGCTTCGAGGAGCAGAGCTGAATCCTACAAACAGGATGACGTCAGAGGGCCTTGGACCGTATACCGTGGCCTCGCGAGTCAACAGTGTACCAACTTCAGGATGTACGTCTCACGGCAACCACAGAACACTAGAAGCACATAGGGGCACCTGATGTGACCTCGCGGATAAATATTGTGACTAACTCAGTACCGTCAACACTTTGTAACCCCACGGTGGACGATGATGGTTCTCATGACGTCACGTCACAAGAAGACGGTGTTATGGAACAAGGACGTTCTGCCCACTGCAACCATATGGCAACCGAAACACAATCGCCGCATCTGACCTCGCGAAGTATCACAAGTACCAGACGTTCATCTCAGAGTGACCCCTTGGGTTCAAGTTCTGTTGAGCCACTGCCTGTAAATTCTCACACTGATCAGTCAACAAATTACGTCCACCCCAGCAGTGTCACATCACAAACTGAACTTACAAACTTGTCATTGTCCAGCAGCCGGACAGACCTAGCGTCCACACATCGGGGACCAGGACATCGGTCTCATTCAGTAGTCGGTCAGGTGAACATGGCGTTTGAATCAGACGGGGAGAGAAAGTCATCAGTGGGCTATACCATTAAAAGTGCTACAATTCCACGCTGTTCCAGTAGAGCTAGACCGTTGTCCCCACACCTGACGTCACAGATCGACGTGGACGTGTATGATAAGAAACTGAACCGAAGAGTGACCCGTGTTGTTGAGATCACACCGTTATGACCAGTGGTAACTGGTTGTTGATGTGTGAGACAGTTGGCAGAGCTGCCCTTCCTATTGAGGTACAGGGACAGAGCCTCTGACCTGATGTTCTGGGAAAGTCCAAGTCAATTAGTAATCCACATGCATACAGTGGATTGGGAAGAAACTCCATCGTGGTCAAACACATCTTGCGTAAAAGTGTTAGGGATTGTTTGGAAACGATTCCTGGAAGGAGTATGATCCTGCTTTGGGGGGAGTTTAAGGATATAACATCTGACAAGTTTTCAAGCTGTTCTCGGAAAGTCAAGGAGCAGGCTCTGCACGTGAGTGCTTTTCGGAGCAGTGACTCACGCGCATTTTTTGTCTGACTTGATGAACTCCAATTTGAAACAGATGATGAACATCCACAATGGACAATTCAGAACTGAACATTATGTAACTTCCGGTGAATTCAAAATGTCCCTAGGCTGGACGTCTGGTGCTGCCGACCTATTGTAGACCAATTTGCCTGCACTCGGAGTAGGATAAATAAGCAAGCAACTTGTGGAGTATCATACAGAAGCCAGTGACCCAAGCCACTCGGCCCTGACACATTTCTCCTTGTGTCTTCGAATGTCCTACATCCAGCCAGCTGTCTATGTTGAATAAACCGCTTCACATCGCTGTTACAATATGTATTTCTTCCGTTGGATTAAAGGGGCCGTAGTGAAGAGACGTTTATCAGACACATATTATACATACCGTTGTCCACGTCCTTAGGTTCAGTCATACAGTTAACAGTCGTCGTGTTTATTAAACGCCGGACAACATTTATTTCCGAATATTTAATGGGACAAATTAGGAACGGTCAAATATGAATCATTGGACAATTATTGCTATTCGCATATCTACTACTGGTTGACGTGGAATATAGGCCACAAAACAGATGAGCATGTCAGTGTGATGTTTTATCGCCTCGGTGAGTCAGCCACTTCTGCTTAATCATCTTTCTGTGCCATGACAGTTATACATCCAGTGTCTCCTCCACAAGCTCAGTGTAGGTCACCGAGATATTCCCCCAAAGTCAGTCATATGTTTACTGTATACAACAAAGCCCCCCTGCATCACACTCTGGCTATATCCACACGACAGCCATTGTAATGCGTCATACTATTACTACTCGCTTTATGCCACGGGGGTTGGGTTTTCGTTGTAAATCATAAAACATTAAGGCCTACCTACTTAGCTGGGGGCAGATAGAAGATTGAGGAGAAACAATACCTAAGGGTTTCACTCCCGACACATCCGTCTCCATCCAGCGTCACACCCAACAACAAATGCCACTCGTCATGACGTCATCATTAGTTCATTCCGAATGGACGAAATGATAATAGTCTTTATACCATGCATAAGGTGGTTCTTAAAAGAGGTATATTGCTCCACGGCCTGTTGTCTATCTTATATCAGGCATACTGCAAGACATTTTGTTCGTGTAAGCCCGATAGGTTGCAAAGCTTTATGTTTGGATAGTATTGAGGGATTGTCCAACCTGTATAGCAAAGATCATGTGTAAACTCGGTTGTTTTTTAAAACTGTTTTTTTTTCATGGTTATAGATAACTGTCGAATAAATATATACTGAACAAAAGAAGTAAAGGATGCTTTCACATAACTTCAGTGTCACTGCCCTGGCCTGCTTGAATTCCAACTCAGCACCTTTCAGTTGTGTGTGATCATAGTTTAGGTACGGGTATCAGATGTCAGAACTGAATGAATATTACGATTGTTGGTTGTCTGGGGACGCCCACCAGCACCAGTCTAGTTCGTAAATCTGAAGTTGTCGTTGACGACCAGCCAGCGTAAACACTTCATGAAATCTGTATATATACAAAACTCAGTTACTATGCAGCATGTTAGCAATGTTGATAGATGGTCCGACATGGTGTTGATAGATGGTCCGACATGGTGCATGTGTTGCATGGTACTATTGGTTGATAGAAGGTCCGACATGGTGCATGTGTTGCATGTTACTATTGGTTGATAGATGGTCCGACATGGTGCATGTGTTGCATGTTACTATTGGTTGATAGATGGTCCGACATGGTGCATGTGTTGCATGTTACTATTGGTTGATAGATGGTCCGACATGGTGCATGTGTTGCATGTTACTATTGGTTGATAGATGGTCCGACATGGTGCATGTGTTGCATGTTACTATTGGTTGATAGATGGTCCGACATGGTGCATGTGTGTTGCATGTTACTATTGGTTGATAGAAGGTCCGACATGGTGCATGTGGTCCGACATGGTGCATGTGTTGCATGTTACTATTGGTTGATAGAGAATGGTCCGACATGGTGCATGTGTTGCATGTTACTATTGGTTGATAGATGGTCCGACATGGTGCATGTGTTGCATGTTACTATTGGTTGATAGAAGGTCCGACATGGTGCATGTGTTGCATGTTACTATTGGTTGATAGATGGTCCGACATGGTGCATGTGTTGCATGTTACTATTGGTTGATAGATGGTCCGACATGGTGCATGTGTTGCATGTTATTGGTTGATAGAAGGTCCGACATGGTGCATGTGTTGCATGTTACTATTGGTTGATAGATGGTCCGACATGGTGCATGTGTTGCATGTTACTATTGGTTGATAGATGGTCCGACATGGTGCATGTGTTGCATGTTACTATTGGTTGATAGATGGTCCGACATGGTGCATGTGTTGCATGTTACTATTGGTTGATAGATGGTCCGACATGGTGCATGTGTTGCATGTTACTATTGGTTGATAGAAGGTCCGACATGGTGCATGTGTTGCATGTTACTATTGGTTGATAGATGGTCCGACATGGTGCATGTGTTGCATGTTACTATTGGTTGATAGAAGGTCCGACATGGTGCATGTGTTGCATGTTACTATTGGTTGATAGAAGGTCCGACATGGTGCATGTGTTGCATGTTACTATTGGTTGATAGATGGTCCGACATGGTGCATGTGTTGCATGTTACTATTGGTTGTTGATGCATGTGTTGCATGTTACTATTGGTTGATAGATGGTCCGACATGGTAGAAGGTCCGACATGTGTTGCATGTTACTATTGGTTGATAGTGGTCCGACATGGTGCATGTGTTGCATGTTACTATTGGTTGATAGATGGTCCGACATGGTGCATGTGTTGCATGTTACTATTGGTTGATAGAAGGTCCGACATGGTGCATGTGTTGCATGTTACTATTGGTTGATAGATGGTCCGACATGGTGCATGTGTTGCTATGTTACTATTGGTTGATAGATGGTCCGACATGGTGCATAGAAGGTGTGCATGTTACTATTGGTTGATAGAAGGTCCGACATGGTGCATGTGTTGCATGTTACATGTTACTATTGGTTGATAGATGGTCCGACATGGTGCATGTGTTGCATGTTACTATTGGTTGATAGATGGTCCGACATGGTGCATGTGTTGCATGTTACTATTGGTTGATAGATGGTCCGACATGGTGCATGTGTTGCATGTTACTATTGGTTGATAGATGGTCCGACATGGTGCATGTGTTGCATGTTACTATTGGTTGATAGATGGTCCGACATGGTGCATGTGTTGCATGTTACTATTGGTTGATAGAAGGTCCGACATGGTGCATGTGTTGCATGTTACTATTGGTGAAATCCATGAGCCTACTGCTGACAAACGATTCTAAGTAGTGCGAGTCTGAGGTTAGGTCCCGCTATGATTGGAATCTGGCCCGTCCAGCCCGTCATGAGAAACAGAGACAGACGCTTAACAACTCCAGAAACACCTTGTCTGACTGGATCACTGAGACTCAGTTACTGTACCAGGTTAACGCCATGCCAACGTCGTACCAAATATGTCAGGTCGGAGAGTTCTGTCCTGGAAATAGCTTGGCAGTTTACATTCTCAGGAGTGGTCACAGGACAATACGAGTCAAAATGAAACATTCACAAATAGTTTATTCCGAAAATGTATGTAAATGAGAATACCAGAACACCCACAGCAATAAGCCAATATATGCCTCACACGACTAAACAAGTGCAGTGCCATCCAGTTTGTCTCATCATTAATATGTGAAAATATAAAACCAGCATTACAACCATTATTTAATAAGACAGTGAATTACTTAAACCAACAATTACTGCATCCACATAATATCACACAGGACATAGTGAATTACGTGGGGATACAGTCGTTCGTCCGGAGTTGAGTCTGTTGAATATCTCTAGGTTGTGTAGGTGATGTAATGTCCAATATAAGTGATTAATATCGCCATAACTGTGGTTCGTTTGGGTCTCTGGGAGAGAGATGACATCTCTGTTTGGTTACCATACACAGACTACAAGAAACACTTGCTAACTACCGTATATCACCCCACTCGCTAGACTTGACATTGTCTGTATCACATCACCCGGAACTTAGTCATTCAGACATGGTGGTCAATGTTCACACGTCATGGTGCAGGGATTGACAGTTTGTATGATCAATTACAAATACCTCTGTCTCAGTCAGCTGAATCATGTATAGTGTATGTATTTTCCGGCCTTCTTGTTGGATAACATGTAATATTTGTATATCAACGTTCTTAAATTGAAATCCTTCACAGACAATGCCACATTTATTGATGTAAGAACATATTTACAATTATCATGCAAAGAGTATGTTTCGTGGCAGGATACAATCAACAGAATATTTACGCAAAATATCGTATTAGGTCAGGTGGGTACTTCTTTCAGTGTTTAACAAACAAACATACCCTTGACTGTCAAACGTTCACCAACAGATTTCTTTGCTAGTTCTATGTCTGTATACTCATTACCAAATCCATAATGTAAGATATTGAATGTTTAAAACATAGTTTAGGTCACACGATACCGACTGCTGCCAATGTTTGACTGACAAATCACTTTTTGGCGATATCAATGCAGATTCGTGATGAATACTTCCAATGTCTAGAGAGGTTTGAGAGGGATGAGACTTCCAACGATAGAATAAAGAATGACATCGTATGATAACGAGATGATCGAGCATGCGAGTTGGAGATGGTTAATATCCTACACAAGGAACATGCAGATGAGAGTCAAAACCCTCTCAGTGAACGTGCACAGCCTCTTGCCCTGTACATGGTGGCCTTATGTTTCCGGTCGTGGTCATCTGCTTTATACAGCTTTAAGTACGGGAGTTAAATACACCAGTGTAAGTGGTCTAATCTGAACACAAAATGTGAAAGAATTATTTGATGAAATAATGCTGAATATCTGACAAATGGGTGGGCGATGTTCATTATTCCCTAGTTTGCTGGTGATATAGGTTTCGACCCGGAAGTCAGAAGACAGCTTTCACGGTGTCGATACGGTTCACATCAGCCCAAATGCATCTACATGATACAACAAGGTTGATAATGATTAGCAGTACAATATACTGTGATTACCAGTACAATGACCTACAATGACGAATACAAATAATCGGACTCAAGCAGATTGTTGAAAATACAAAGTGAGACATGTTATGGGAACGCCGACGTGTTAAGGAATATCAAAGTCCAGTCTGAAGTGGCAGTCCACACCTACTAGTCGACTTATTGTGTTCTCTATTGAGATGGATGTACAGACAATCCAGTTTATCATTCAAGGCCTTGACGCGCGAGTCAAGAAGTCATTCACCTGAACCAGGGCGGATCTATACATTGAGAAGCCACGACTATTCCCGCCAGTATGTACCTTCCACAGCGATATTGATGACTATATCCCCACCCTGTTTACGACCTCCCTGACGCATCGTACCCCACCCTCTGTCGCTCCTGCCCCCCCTGCCTGCCCCCACCCTCCCTGCCCCCACCCTGTCGGGCCCCACCCTGCCTACCCCCTCCTTGCCTGCTGCCCCACCCTGGTTGCTACCCCTCCTTGCCTGCCCCGACCCTGCCTGCCCCCACCCTGGTAACGGTGACAGGTGAAGCAGCAGTTGATGGAGACGGCTTGGTTGACCACGCACTGTTCCACAGGAAAATGACGGAAGAATGACGTGCAGTTCAAACTGCCGAACTCCCCCGTGTTGAAGATAACAGGACGGTCTCCGAATTCACACCCTGAAACACAACCACGAGCTACGTATAGATAGATCATCGTGGGAAACCTACAATGGCAAATTGTGATAAAAAAAGAGTTAAGATTGCCGAGGGGGTTGAAGGTCGTGTCCAAGGTCATAGCACTAAAATGATAATGTATATGATTATGCGCGAACGGGGCTCTTCTGGTTGTCCAGATGTATCCGGTGTTATAGTTCACGAACACTGAAAAACCCTGACGCATAATGACATGGATACCCCACGAAATATGTGACTCTGGCCAATCCTTGTTATTGACAGCACGCCAAACAGCAGGCAGGGCAACAACATGTTCTAGCGTTTACGCCTTCTGGTATGGCTTGGCCAGGGGGCAAACCACCGACCTACCGCTCCGGCCAAAGAATGGCGGACGTGATCCCATCACAAGGTCAGAAGTCTATCGTGAGAATATTCCAGGGGCAATTGTGTTCGGCATTCATCAACAAGGGTCCAATCTGATACTTAGAATACTCACTCTGCTTTTCGAATACCCTATTCCAATAATTACCATTTCGTGTCAGTCATAGCTGTTATGTTCTTAGACTTGGGAGAACTCGATAACATAGACCACAGAATAAATGGCGTCTGCTAAAACCATGTGTTATTCATTTATTGCCTTAATCAACGAGAGTGATACAAGGGGACGTAACTCGCATCTCTGTCCGACATGCGAGATAATGGCCTGATAAATGATGGTATTTTACCTTTTTGTCATTTTTTGCTTAGTATCTACATTCAAATTTTGTGGGCTAATAACTTTCAGGCATAGCTAGCCCGACTGGTGAGCAAGATTTGGAAACTATTTCGCACACTGATCTACGCATTTGGGAACCGATGACATTTGTCAACCAAGTCAGCGAACCTGACCACCCGATCCCGTTAGTCGCCTCTTACGACAAGCAAGGTGGTGGTGGTGGTCAGAAACTAATTATTCATTACATTATTATTTACAAACAGAAATGTCATAGCACCAAATTCAAAAACAAGCAATCCGTCATGCACAATACACATCGAAAAACATGTAATTTTACATGTAATATGTATTCAAACAAGCCGTGAGGTGAGAGTGAGTGAGTTAGGTCTTACCCCGCTTTTAGCAATATTCCAGAAATGTGCTTCACACATTGTACCCTTGTGGGAATCGAACCCTGGCCTTCGGTGTAACGAACGAACGCTTTAGCCACTGGGTCGTCAGACCGACCTAGGCCACACGAGATCTTCCTACAGCATTTCATATAAAACATTACGGACAGTTTAAGGATTGGAGTAGGGGAGACAACTCTTACCGACAAGATTGTTAGGCATCCGGGCTCTGAGTCGTTCACAGGTCTGACAGCAGAGTCTTCGTATCTGTTCAGCATAGCAGTTGATACGGACCCCACCGTACTGGTCAAACGGCCGGCACAGGTTGGCGTTCTGGTCACCCCATGGACAAACTGTACAGGTGGAGGGACATATGTGTTATACACAGACCCTGTAGTGGAGGTATGTTAGCATGAGAACATACTTAACCTGCCTCTGCTAGGTTCGCGTGGACTCCCAGTCTTTACACTAATCACGTACAAGAACCACTAATCAAAGAGAGTCCCAATGAGTCATCCACTGGTTTAGGTTTTGATCACAGTGGTGAATCCTGCGTCGTTCAAATTTGTATATCTAATATTGAATTGCAAATACATTTGCTTATGCTACATGTATATAATAAATATTTATTCAATTTGTTTGTTTGTGTGTGTGTGTGTGTGTGTGTGTGTGTTAATGTATAATACGTATATAATGTTGCCTTCATAAGGAGGAAGATCGAATCCCATCCCACACATACACGCACACACAGAGTACAGTGTTCACACTTAGCCCTTGCTTCACAATGTCACACAACGGTCTGTCTACACATGTACCCATTTCTTAAGCTCATTTGGTCAAATGTTTGTCAATATAAATTACAATCACGGTCTGTATTTCGGTGGTCTAAATCCTACCCCAAGTGGAATATATGCTTGCAACATATGGTGTAAACTGCCATCTGAGGAACACGAAATGCTTTAAATTATCCGACGCTATTTCTGTCAAAAGATTCAAGGATTGTCTGGACGAAGTTCTTGCGTCTGTCTGTCTGTCCGTTTTTCTATATATCTTAGGTGCGGGGCACATAGCGCTAGGATCCCTTGTTGAGCGGCACAGACGTCTTGCTGTGAGGCCTTTATGATGATGCTGATACTCACCCTGATTTTCGGCGTTCCCCCGCAATCTCGTGCACGTGTGGCAGCAGAGACGTTGGTTCTCTGGGATGTAGCACAGGCTGGGGTTCTGTGTGACCCTCTCACACCTCGGGGTCATGTCGCCATACTCACACCCTGTCTCTCCTGTAAACAATTAGGGAAAATGCAAAGATACCATGTTTACAGGGCTGTCGTTATTATTAACGATTCTGTTAACCAACTTCACTGTCCCGAATACATAAAGCAATATTTGCGCTTTGTTTGTCAAGACGAGACAAACCAGTGATCGACAACACAAGTAATCATGTACGGAGTTAATTCCACAGTCAACCAGGGCACACATTGTAACTCCTATATTTGGAGTCAGATGGACAATTCAGTCACTCAGACTGAATCGTAAGATGTCACAGTCACGGTCACAGGTAGCACAGCAGGTTCCTCCAATCCACCACCTATCTTACCCTGTACCTACCTTCACACAAACCTACTTGATGTTCCTCCACCACCTATCTTAACCTGTACCTACCTTCACACAAACCTACCTGACATATGCATGTTACAGGTATCGCATGTATGTTCCTCCACCACCTATCTTAACCTGTACCTACCTTCACACAAACCTACCTGACATATGCCTGTTACAGGTATCGCATGTATGTTCCTCCACTCTACCACTCGCTTTACCCTGCAGCTACCTTCACACAAACCTACCTGACATGTGCCTGTTACAGGTATCGCAGCAACTCTGTCTGTTCCTCAGGTCGTAACAGTCGTGGGGCTGTATCTGACGACACTGGTAGGAATGGTCCCCAAACTCGCATCCTTAAACAGCCAACAACAGTGACATCAAATACAGATGGAGGTTCCTTTGCAGTTACTCAAAACGATTTTCATATTTTTTTACAAGTAATGGTACAAGATGTCTTTCAGTCTCTTTTGACGCGAGTCTCAAAGATGAGGTTTTTCTTTTGTTTTTGATGATACCTTAGCGTGGTAGTAAACCTGAAACAAGTTATTCGCAAGCCGATGTACTTTGTTGGAACGTGCACAGAAACTAATGACATACCAACATTGGAGGGATTCTTAAGTGGGCGACACTTCTCACAGCACTCCCTAGATGTGAATTCATGTCGATAGCAAAGAAAAGACCCGTAGAAGTCGACAGCCCTGGCACAGTCCATACCATTGATACGCATCCGGATACCAGTTTCCGGGCAGTTCTGGTGGAATAGAAGTCAGTCAGGGGTCACAGTGTTAAACAAATAGCTTGGTCTCGGGTTCTATCTTCACGAATATTCATCATTGGCATACTAGCTGACCCAAATAGATTATGTGTTGTGGCTTCCAAAAAATCTATTTGGGGGGAAAACAAAAATATACCTTAAATCAGGGACCGAATACTGGTTTGTCTGTAACTAATGCCAGGTCCCTTGATTAATGTGATACATCATTTAGCCATCTTAGAATTCGAAGAAGAGTTAGGAGAGTTAGTTTATCAATTTCATGAAGTCGCTTCCACTTTGTATTCCCTGGTTGTCATGGGAACCAATGGTGTAGACTTCGTGGTTTCTGTACAATAACTAGGGATAGATTTGGTTTTGTTTGAAGCCCCAGTTAGCAATTTTCCAGCTACACGAGGGCGACCTCGTGATACCAGGACCTGGGTCAGACAAAACCATTCATACATGTTATAAGCGACGTCGAACGCCGAGGACAAGGGGCCAAATAGGTCACCAAGATTGACAAACCGATCCATTTAGTCGTTTCGTGTAACTTGCATCGTAAAAGTTCTGTTGAAAACCCACGAGATACATTATAAATCACTCACCCCTTGATTAGGATTGTATGGATACTGTTGTCCAGATGGATTATATCCATAAGGTACATATCCCTGACCAGTGGGTTGCCCTCCTGTATAGGTCGGCTGTCCAACAGTATATGTAGGCTGTCCACCAGTATATGTAGGCTGACCACCAGTATATGTAGGCTGACCACCAGTATATGTAGGCTGACCACCAGTATATGTAGGCTGACCACCAGTATATGTAGGCTGTCCACTAGTATAGCTCGGCTGTTGCTGTCTAGCTGTATATGACGGTTGTTGTTGTCTTGTGCTATATGTGTACTGATTCCTGCTGGAGTAGAACGGTCGCTGCCCTTGAACTGTGTACGTTCTGTAGCCTGGCGTCTCTCGGGACACCTGCTGCCCAGTATTCATCTGTCGCCTGTCCAGCGGCTGCCCACCGCCAGTGGAGAGTATAGGACCCAACGGATAACTAGCAGCAAGAGTAGGACGTCTTCCCGTTGGCCCGCTGCCGCCAGTGTTGCTGTAATACGTCCCCGTGTTTGTGGAGCGCCCTGATGTCTGTCTCCGTGTTCCGGTTGGGCTATATGTTGCCGTAGCAGCCCCCGAACCCGATGGGTTATACACATAACCCGTGTATCTTGGATCAGTCTGTGTCCCCTGGTTTTGACCAGTTCGGGTAGGGTTGCCTTGGGAATCATCAACATCATCTTCATTGTTGGTCCGCTGGTTATTGGCCCTAACATTCGGGTCAACGCGTTCCCCTGGGTTTCCGGCTTGGCTGCCATAGGTCTGGGTGCCAGTTGACCGGGTGCGTGTGGGTGAGCGACTGGCAGACTGACTGCCGGACTGACTGCTTTGGGAACTGGAGTAGTCACGTGACGCCCTTCCTGATGCCCCACCAAGTTCTGGCGTGTATTGTCGGTACAAAGGGGTACGTGTGGAATAAGGCGCCCCATAATACTGCTGGTCGCTCTGATTTAGGTTATGGTTTAGGTTTGGGTTCAGGATGGCTGTGTGGCCGTAGAAGGAGTCCCCAGAGTTATGGGAAGCCTCTGAAATAGGTTGAGTCTGATGTTCGTCTTGCTGTGTGTATGGAATGGGCTGCAAGGTGAAGGTAGTAGAGTATAGACACCAACTAGAACATTACATGACACATACATGTATTATGAATTTGTATTTTGTTTGTTGGATTATGTTAAGATACAACAACGGTATGTTGTAACATGCGATACACGCCTGGCCCTAGATGGTACAGTGTGATACGCAACAAGCCCTAGGTGGCATCATTTAATACATACTAGTGCCTAGACGATTACAGGTGATACAGACCAGGCCCTAGACGATACCAGGTGATACAGACCAGGCCCTAGACGGTACCAGGTGATACAGACCAGGCCCTAGACGGTACCAGGTGATACAGACCAGGCCCTTAGACGGTACCAGGTGATACAGACCAGGCCCTAGACGGTACCAGGTGATACAGACCAGGCCCTAGACGATACCAGGTGATACAGACCAGGCCCTAGACGATACCCTACAGGGCGGTACCAGGTGATACAGACCAGGCCCTTGACGGTACCAGGTGATACAGACCAGGCCCTAGACGATACCAGGTGATACAGACCAGGCCCTAGGCGGTACCAGGTGATACAGACCAGGCCCTTGACGGTACCAGGTGATACAGACCAGGCCCTAGACGGTACCAGGTGATACAGACCAGGCCCTTGACGATACCATGCAATACACACCAGGCCCTAGACGATACCAGGTAGGCCCAGGTGATACTGATGGTAGGTGAGACAGACCAGGCCCTAGACGATACCAGGTGATACACACCAGGCCCCGGTGATGGCCAGACCAGGCCCTAGACGGACAGGTGATACAGACCAGGTGATACCAGGTGATACAGACCAGGCCCTAGACGGTACCAGGTGATACAGACCAGGCCCTAGGCGGTACCCAGGTGACTAAGACCAGGCCCAGACAGGTGATACAGGCCCTAGGACGGTACCAGGTGATACAGACCAGGCCCTAGACGGTACCAGGTGATACAGACCAGGCCCTAGACGGTACCAGGTGATACAGACCAGGCCCTAGGCGGTACCAGGTGATACAGACCAGGCCCTAGACGGTACCAGGTGATACAGACCAGGCCCTAGACGATACCAGGTGATACAGACCAGGCCCTAGGCGGTACCAGGTGATACAGACCAGGCCCTAGGCGGTACCAGGTGATACAGACCAGGCCCTTGACGGTACCAGGTGATACAGACCAGGCCCTAGGCGGTACCAGGTGATACAGACCCAGGGGACGATACCAGGTGATACAGACCAGGCCCTTGACGGTACCAGGTGATACAGACCAGGCCCTAGGACGGTACCAGGTGATACAGACCCAGGTGATACAGACCAGGCCCTAGGGCGGTACCAGGTGATACAGACCAGGCCCTAGGACGGTACCAGGTGATACAGACCAGGCCCTAGGACGGTACCAGGTGATACAGACCAGGCCCTTGACGGTACCAGGTGATACAGACCAGGCCCTAGACGGTACCAGGTGATACAGACCAGGCCCTAGACGGTACCAGGTGATACAGACCAGGCCCTTGACGATACCATGCAATACACACCAGGCCCTAGACGATACCAGGTGATACAGACCAGGCCCTTGACGGTACCAGGTGATACAGACCAGGCCCTAGGACGGTACCAGGTGATACAGACCAGGCCCTAGACGGTACCAGGTGATACAGACCAGGCCCTAGACGGTACCAGGTGATACAGACCAGGCCCTAGGCGGTACCAGGTGATACAGACCAGGCCCTAGGCTAGGCGGTGCCAGGTGATGATACAGACCAGGCCCTAGACGGTACCAGGATACAGACCAGGCCCTGATACAGACCAGGGCCCTAGGCGGTACCAGGTGATACAGACCAGGCCCTAGGCGGTACCAGGTGATACAGACCAGGCCCTAGACGATACCAGGTGATACAGACCAGGCCAGGTGATACAGACCGGGCCAGGTGATACAGACCAGGCCCTAGGCGGTGCCAGGTGATACAGACCAGGCCCTAGGCGGTACCAGGTGATACAGACCAGGCCCTAGGGCGGTACCAGGTGATACAGACCAGGCCCTTGAGATACCAGGCAATAGGTGATACAGACCAGGCCAGGCCCTAGGACGGTACCAGGTGATACAGACCAGGCCCTAGGCGGAACCAGGTGATACAGACCAGGCCCTAGGCGGTACCAGGTGATACAGACCAGGCCCTAGGCGGTACCAGGTGATACAGACCAGGCCCTAGAGCGGTACCAGGTGATACAGACCAGGCCCTAGACGGTACCAGGTGCTACAGACCAGGCCCTAGGCGGTACCAGGTGATACAGACCAGGCCCTAGGCGGATACCAGGCCCTAGGCGGACCAGGTGATACAGGCTGATACCAGGTGCTACAGACCAGGCCCTAGACAGTACCAGGTGATACAGACCAGGCCCTTGACGGTACCAGGTGATACAGACCAGGCCCTAGGCGGTACCAGGTGATACAGACCAGGCCCTAGGCGGTACCAGGTGATACAGACCAGGCTCTAGACGATACCAGGTGCTACAGACCAGGCCCTAGACAGTACCAGGTGATACAGACCAGGCCCTAGACGGTACCAGGTGATACAGACCAGGCCCTAGGCGGTGCCAGGTGATACAGACCAGGCCCTAGACGGTACCAGGTGATACAGATCAGGCCCTATGCGGTACCAGGTGCTACAGACCAGGCCCTAGGCGGTACCAGGTGATACAGATCAGGCCCTAGACGGTACCAGGTGATACAGACCAGGCCCTAGGCGGTACCAGGTGATACAGACCAGGCCCTAGACGATACCATGTAATACACACCAGGCCTTAGACAGTACCAGGTAATACAGACCAGGCCCTAGACGATACCAGGTTATACAGACCAGGCCCTAGACAGTACCAGGTGATACAGACCAGGCCCTAGACGGTACCAGGTGATACAGACCAGGCCCTAGGCGGTGCCAGGTGATACAGACCAGGCCCTAGGTGGTACCATGTCGTAAATGCCATCTATGGAAACTGCAAATGATTTCAGTTAATGTGCAAAATATGAATTTATAATATGTTTTTCACTATCTGGCAAATGTTTCGTTTTTTAACCTTAATTATCAAGATATATCATATCTAATGACCAGTTCCTTCATCACCAAGGCAACGAAAGATACATATTTGCTGATAACCAGTTCTTTGCCAAATGTACATTGTTTAATGGCGATGTCACAACTGACCCCAGTCACAAGGCAGCTCAATTGCTTTGTTGTTTTCCATTAGACAGAAACTTTTAAAACAATGCCAGTATTCTGGATTATATAATATTTGTCAAGCATATTCATGAATACTTTATATTAAACAGATTTTTAGGCGCTTGATGTACATGTTGTTTGACGTAAGGCAAGAAAAACCGTACTGAATCCCAACAAGCAGAGGTGTGTCACCACTTACCCCAATCTGGTCAGCAAGATCTCGCTTTTTCAATGTATGAAGTAGGATAGACTCATCTGCAATAGACAATATTTAACTAAACAGTTATTGTGTGTTATTGTTATAGTATTATCTAAAATCAAACCTAATAATATACTGAGACAAAAAAGAAACTTCACATTCTTTCTTCAGGGCACTTTAAAAGAACAAGAGATGGTAAGATGGTTAAATTGTTATTATTTCATTGCTGAGATCTGTGTGATGTACTCGATACACTGACAGTGCCATAATCAGTTCCATTAGGCTACACCGCCGTTCCAAAACATGGGTATACAGAATATCACGTCACAAGAATAACAATGCGAAATTTCTCAGTTCAATATCGTGTATGGCCGCCCCGCGCATTCACCACTGCCAAACACCGTCTTCTCATCGACTGCCTGATGCTTGTGAACACGTGGTTGGGGATTCTGCGCCATTGCTTTTGCAAGGCAGCGCCAAGTTCCTGCAAATTCTGAGGTTGGTTCCTAAGACCACGAAGCCGTCTCCCAAGTGCATCCCAAACGTGCTCTATTGCATTAAGGTCAGGGGACCTCGATGGCCAGTCCATGACGTTGATTCCAGCGTTTTGAAGGAAATTTCGTGTCAACATCGCGGTATGCGGCCGAGCATTATCATGCTGGAACTGTAGACCTGGGCCATGAGCCGCCATGAAAGTAACGAGTTCAGGGGTGAGCACCTGGTCGCGCTAAGCAGCAGCTGTGAGGTTTCCACGGATGACCAGAAGTCGGGAACGGTTGTTCCCACAGAAAGCACCCCACACCATGCAACTTCCGCCCCCGAATCTGTCGACTTTCTGTACACAACATTGGGCATACCGTTCACGACGTCGTCTCCAGACTCTATGCCTGCCGTCCGCGAATCTGAGGGTAAACCTGGATTCATCGCTAAAGACGACTCGATTCCAGTCTCTCTGGGTCCATCGGAGGTGACGTTGGGCCCACAGCAGACGTTGACGTTGATGAAACGGCGTCAATATTGGCCCACGATATGGACGTCGAGAATGGAGATTGGCAGCCCGCAACCTATTTCGAATGGTCTGTGAGGACAGTCGACCTCTAAACATCTCAGCCCTTGTTCGTGTAGCCAGCAGAAATCTGTCACGTAGGTGACGTAGGACGATTTGACGGTCTTCTGCTCGTGACGTCACACGTGGACGACCGGACCTTGGGCGATCAGGAGTGGTGCCAGTTTGTTGTAGACGACCTCGCAGGTCATACACAGTACGACGGCTGCATCCCATTGCTCTTGCGACGTCAATAACTGATCTTCCCGCTTGCAACATGCCAACGGCACGTTCACGTTGCACATTTGACAATCGTGGCATTTCAAGTACCGTTAGAACTGTGGTTTAAAAGTGTTTTTTCAGTTCTTGAGGCCAATGCAAACACGTGCATATGAAGAAAACTTCGATGCGAAGATCACGTGATCGACTGCACGTGCAAAACCTGATTGGCATTAACGTCATTCGCACGACGAATGGATGGGTTTGAGTAGGTTTTGCTAACGTTTTTCTAGAGTCGAAAGATAGGGATCCCATTTCGGACACATAGATGTATCATCAGAGAAAAATTATTCATTATTTTTCAAATTACATTTTGTGAAGTTTCTTTTTTGACTCAGTATATATTTGGCGTGCAGCATATATAAGAGGGAAGATATTGTCATTTCCTCTGGCACTAGTTGTGCAGTATCACATAGGTAATATGTGGTGTATGACGTTCAATCCTTGTACAATATAACAACCTCTCAAGCAATTTATGTATAGTATAGTTTGGATTACAGAAAAGAAATATCTATTTCTGCTTCACATTTCATACAATAATTGTGTGGTATTCTGAAGGAACTAGATATAATTCTGCAGTACACCTTACAGAGATCCAATAATGACTTTATTAACTCTCTGGTAATATATGTCTTGTACAAAAGAAGGCAAACATAATCAAGCTACTATATTTAGTCCAATGTTTGTAACATGATGATAGATACAGACAGCAGTCTGGTAGCTGATGATATCCGATAGATACAGCAGTCTGTTAGCTGATGATAGCCCATAGATACAGTAGTCTGTTAGCTGATGATAGCCTATAGATACAGCAGTCTGTTAGCTAATGATAGCCCATAGACACAACAGCCTGTTAGCTGATGATAGCCGATAGATACAGCAGTCTGTTAGCTAATGATAGCCGATAGATACAGCAGTCTGTTAGCTAATGATAGCCCATATACACAGCAGCCTGTTAGCTAATGATAGCCCATTTATACAGCAGTCTGTTAGCTGATGATATCGGATAGATGCAGCAGTCTGTCAGCTGAGATTAACCCATAGATACAGCAGTCTGTTAGCTGATGATATCCGATAGATGCAGCTGTCTGTTAGCTGATAATAGCCCATAGATGCAGAGATCTGTTAGGTGATGATAGCCCATAGATACAGCAGTCTGTTAGGTGATAATAGCCCATAGATACAGCAGTCTGTTAGCTGATGATAGCCCATAGATACAGCAGTCTGTTAGCTGATGATAGCCCATAGATACAGCTGTCTGTTAGCTAATGATAGCCCATTTATACAGCAGTCTGTTAGCTGATGATATCGGATAGATGCAGCAGTCTGTCAGCTGTGATTAACCCATAGATACAGCAGTCTGTTAGCTGATGATATCCGATAGATGCAGCTGTCTGTTAGCTGATAATAGCCCATAGATGCAGAGATCTGTTAGGTGATGATAGCCCATAGATACAGCAGTCTGTTAGCTGATGATAGCCCATAGATACAGCAGTCTGGTAGCTGATGATAGCCCATAGATACAGCAGTCTGTTAGCTGATAATAGCCCATAGATACAGCAGTCTGTTAGCTGATGATAGCCCATAGATACAGCAGTCTGTTAGCTGATGATAGCCCATAGATACAGCAGTCTGTTAGCTGATGATAGTCCATAGATACAGCAGTCTGTTAGGTGATGTTAGCCCATAGATACAGCTGTCTGTTAGCTGATGTTAGCCCATAGATACAGCAGTCTGTTAGCTGATGATAGCCCATAGATACAGCAGTCTGTTAGCTGATGATAGCCCATAGATACAGCAGTCTGTTAGCTGATGATAGCCTATAGATACAGCAGTCTCTTAGCTGATGATAGCCTATAGATACAGCAGTCTGTTAGGTGATGATAGCCCATAGATACAGCAGTCTGTTAGCTGATGATAGCCGATAGATACAGCAGTCTGTTAGGTGATGATAGCCCATAGATACAGCAGTCTGTTAGCTGATGATAGCCTATAGATACAGCAGTCTGTTAGGTGATACAGCAGTCTGTTAGCTGATGATAGCCTATAGATACAGCAGTCTGTTAGCTGATGATAGCCCATAGATGCAGCAGTCTGTTAGCTGATGATAGCCCATAGATACAGCAGTCTGTTAGCTGATGATAGCCGATAGATACAGCGGTCTGTTAGCTGATGATAGCCCATAGATACAGCAGTCTCTTAGCTAATGATAGCCTATAGATACAGCAGTCTGTTAGCTGATGATAGCCCATAGATACAGCAGTCTGTTAGCTGATGATAGCCCATATACACAGCAGTCTGTTAGCTAATGATAGCCGATAGATACAGCAGTCTGTTAGCTGATGATAGCCGATAGATACAGCTGTCTGTTAGCTGATGATAGCCTATAGATACAGCAGTCTGTTAGCTGATGATAGCCGATAGATACAGCAGTCTGTTAGCTGATGATAGCCGATAGATACAGCAGTCTGTTAGCTGATGATAGCCCATAGATACAGCAGTCTCTTAGCTGATGATAGCCGATAGATAGCAGCTGTTAGCTGATGTCTGTACAGCAGTCTGATGATAGCCCATAGATACAGCAGTCTGTTAGCTGATGATAGCCTATAGATACAGCAGTCTGTTAGCTGATGATAGCCTATAGATACAGCAGTCTGTTAGCTGATGATAGCCCATAGATACAGCAGTCTGTTAGCTGATGATAGCCCATAGATACAGCAGTCTGTTAGCTGATGATAGCCCATAGATACAGCAGTCTGTTAGCTGATGGATAGATAGCCTGTTAGCTGATAGATACAGCAGTCTGTTAGCTGATGATAGCCCATAGATACAGCAGTCTGTTAGCTGATGATAGCCTATAGATACAGCAGTCTGTTAGCTGATGATAGCCTATAGATACAGCAGTCTGTTAGCTGATGATAGCCCATAGATACAGCAGTCTGTTAGCTGATGATAGCCTATAGATACAGCAGTCTGTTAGCTGATGATAGCCTATAGATACAGCAGTCTGTTAGCTGATGATAGCCCATAGACACAGCAGTCTGTTAGCTGATGATAGCCGATAGATACAGCAGTCTGTTAGCTGATTATAGCCAATAGATACAGCAGTCTGTTAGCTGATGATAGCCGATAGATACAGCAGTCTGTTAGCTGATGATAGCCGATAGATACAGCAGTCTGTTAGCTGATGATAGCCAATAGATACAGCAGTCTGTTAGCTGATGATAGCTGATAGATACAGCAGTCTGTTAGCTGATGATAGCCGATAGACACAGCAGTCTGTTAGCAGGACATATTCAGTAATTGCCTGCTTGTGTTTACTACTCCAGAGCGTCAACTCCAGGTCACACAATTATAGACGCGAACATACTGGTATATATCACACGTCTGTGGTCAGGTCACACAATTATAGAAGCCAACATACAGGTATATATCACATGTCTGTGGTCAGGTCACACAATTATACACGCCAACATTCTGATATATATCACATGTCTGTGGTCAGGTCACACAATTATACACTACAACATACTGGCATATATCACACAGCTGTGGTCAGGTCACACAATTATAGAAGCCAACATACAGGTATATATCACACATCTGTGGTCAGGTCACACAATTATACACTACAACATTTTGATATATATCATACGTCTGTGGTCAGGTCACACAATTATACACTACAACATACTGGTATATATCACATGTCTGTTATCAGGTCACACAATTCTGTGGTCAGGTCACACAATTATACACTACAACATTTTGATATATATCATACGTCTGTGGTCAGGTCACACAATTATACACTACAACATACTGGTATATATCACATGTCTGTTATCAGGTCACACAATTATAGACGCCAACATACTGGTGTATATCACACATCTGTGGTCAATTATACACTACAACATTCTGGTATATATCATATGTCTGTGGTCAGGTCACACAATTATAGACGGGAACATAGTGATATATGACACATGTCTGTTATCAGGTCGCACAATTATAGAAGCCAACATTCTGGTATATATCACATGTCGGTGGTCAGGTCACACAATTATACACTACAACATACTGGTATATATCACACGTTTCTGGTCAGGTCACACAATTATACACGCCAACATACTGGTATATATCACACGTCTGTTATCAGGTCACACAATTATAGACGCCAAGATACTGGTATATATCACACGTCTGTGGTCAGGTCACACAATTATACTCTACAACATTTTGGTATATATCACACGTCTGTGGTCGGGTCACACAATTATAGAAGCCAACATACTAGTATATACCACACGTCTGTGGTCAGGTCACACAATTATATACGCCAACATACTGGTATACATCATACGTCTGAAGTCAGGTGACACAATTATACACTACAACATTCTGGTATATATGACACGTCCTTGGTCAGGTCACACAATTATAGAAGCCAACATACTGGTATATATCACATGTCTGTGGTCAGGTCACACAATTATGGTAGCCAGCATACTGGTATATATCACGCGTCTCTGGTCAGGTCACACAATTATACACGCCAGCATACTAGTGTATATCACACATCCATGGTCAGGTCACAGACTTTTACTCGTATTTTATGTTCATGGTACGTTCCGTGCAACACCGTGTACATGGGTGTATGTCAGACAGTATCATCTCACCTTTAGTGTCTGGGTGTCTGCTAGAGTGGACGTGCACGACGACACACAACACCGCTATATATCCCAGCATCAACATGGTAGAACAGGTAGTATCCTGGATTTCCTAAGTGCTACTTCACACTACCGCATGGTACTGAAGAATCACAGCCACACGGAATTCTGCGCCAGGAATTATATCACTGGCTTTCCTTACGCCCCCGAGCCGTATAGTGTTACCTGTGTCTAACCCCGATAATTACCGCTATTCCCGACCCCCTCAGCGATGCTGCCGACCACAAGAGACTCAACACCGCGTTAATTTGCACGCGCAACTGTCCAGGGATGTAGCCCTTATCAGCTGAGAATTCAGTGAAGCAGCCAGAGATAGGACTGATGAAAATACCGGTGATATCTTCAAGAAGGGATGAAATCCTCTTGGGTTTTTCTGAAGCAAATCGTTTGCAATGACTAACATGGTCTAAATATAACGTCCTTTTGAACGTTTTTACGAATTCCATAAATTTCGCATATGTTTTTCAACGGCTGTTATTGCGGTTTGTTTAAACTTACATCCACGTTTTTGACACATCGGCTGTTTCTGGAAATCAACTTTTGACAAAGTTCCTCTTCCTGATGGTTTTGTGGAGAGACATTCTCTGAAACTAAGTCGAACAGCTCGCCTATAAACCAGCATGAGAGTTGTAAAACTATCAGGCATTGGTAGTAGGCTATATAAACACTTGTTGGACGTCAATCTTTCCTCGTTTCCAGAAATACACATCATAGGCTTTTGAAACATATCAATGGGAATATATACATACCATATTTAAGTTTTATCTTGATCACCTCTGCAGGTTTCGCGTATGTCTGTATCTATTACAACGGCATGTAACAGCTTCAGTGCAACTATGTATAGGCCAGATATTGGAATAACAGATGAACTGTGCAGGGCATTGTAACCAAACATATTAGCGTTTGCCTCAAACACTCTAAGAAGCCCATGTGCTAGACACGTCTACTGCGTGACTAACGTCTTCCAGCGAGGAGAATCTCAACTGATGTTTCAGTCTTTCAAAAACTTAAAAGGAACCTTATGGGATGCTTTGGTTATGATTTTATAGGTTAAACTCAGTTTCGATATAAAATGGAAAAAAGAAAATCGTGGCATTGGCTTGTGCCCATCCCCGACCATCCAGGGTCTAAAATTTCATTCCTTTATGGTAAATATACTATTCAAAAGTAGTGGGGGATAATCAATAAAAATATGACACAACTTTTCGTATTTTGTATCTTTAATGAGATAAATACTTTGACATCTGTCTGAGATTTGCATGAGTCGATGGACGTCGAATGGCCATAGATTGTGTTAGGGTTTGGCCATAGCGTCCTACGTATACTAGCCCTTATTTACCATGAAGTCACCAGTGAACATCCGGGTTACAACTGGTCTACAGCAACCCATGCTTGTCGCAAGAGGCGACTAACAGGATCGGGTGGTCAGGCTCGCTGACTTGGTTGCACATTATCATAGTACCTCTTGGGTAGAGGAATGCTCATGATGTTGATCACTGGATTGTCTGGTCCAGACTCGATTATTTACCGACTGCCACCATATAGCTGCAATATTGCTGAGTGCGGCGTAAAACAACAAACAGGCAAAACAAACCAAGAAAGGACAAACGCGATAATCCGCTTATATTCTAAAGACAGTCCCGGATTCGACAAGACACACTCCTAATCAAACGTCCACAGCCAACTTGGTTCCGTCCAACCCAGTCGTCTTGCATCACAGCGCCAAATTCGTTGACGGTAACGCACGCTCCGTCCATGGATGCCCCAGACATGTTCGATGCTTGGCTTGAGCGCTGGACATGGTCCGATGGTTCTCCTGGAGGTACTCACTATCAGCCTTATGTGCTCTTGAGTTGTCATTCTGAAACACAAAATGACGCCCATGTCGGAGCACAAATGGCACCACCAGAATGTTGTCACGGCAATGCCGTCATGGCACGCGTCCGTGAATTTCATGTAAAGGTGGTCTGCCAGTGATCCCGACCCCCACCACTACCCCAAAAACCATCGCTCTGTCTAACGTTAATAGCATGAAAACGCTCATTCGGTCATATGGTATCTGATTCGGTCAATGTCACATTCTGTCAAGGAAGTTCAAGATAAACCTCATCTGAAAAACTGAACGTTTACCGAACGGCAAATGGTCCAGCGCTTCCGCTCTTGACACCAGCAATGCGACTGTCCGCCAATCGCGGATTAACACGTGATCATCAGGAGCACGGGTTCTGTCTTGTGAAACCACTCTTACACCTGCATGTAGGTCTGTGAAGGTCATCCCAATTGAAGGGTCACTTTTACCACGGTTTCGTAACACAGTCGTTCAATTGAAACGATTTTCTGCGCCAGTTGAAGAATTTCATCAACGTTATTTGTCTATGATACGGCGATTCTAATCTACTAATTACTTACGGTGAAACGCTCATAGCTCGTGCCCCAATGCTCTGCCATGTTTCAACTTCCAACATGCCAATTGCACCTAGCCGTTCCTGGCGTGACAGACACCGCATTAATTGTGTTTTAAACAATATCAGTCTGGTTTTTATCGATGAACTGAAAAGCAACAAAGGAATACGTTTCAATGTAAACTTCGAGTTTTACCCCCTACCATGTACACGTGTACATAATACAAAACGTTCGTACGCAATTCATAAAACGTCGTCAATGGAATAATCATTTTCTATATCCATATACAATCATACAACTTGGTTCCAAAATAATGTCAAGCCAACATGGAATATCTCCTACCAGGTTTAATGTTTAAGGAGTGACGTCACTATCTCCATCCATTTAAGCACTAAGCTCCGACAGATTGTCTCCCCCCATGAGGGTCATGTGACTGCAGGGCGGTGTCAGTGATGCGTTATCCACGATGCCATTCTATAGGTTATCTCCCAAGACAGCCATATCTTAGACAGCCATAACTTAGGCACTAATGAAGGGGATTAATTAAGACAACACCCATGGCTGAAATGGAACAGTGACTGTCCTAATTAGTGTTCCCGCTGAGTAAACCTAGCTTGTAAATAAATAAAACAATTGAAACTGTAAAGTATGTGTAAACTCAAATCTTTGAAAGACATTTAGAAGAGGAATGCATAAGAAAAGCAAGATTTATGGATGTCAACTTCATTATGGTGAATAACACGACGTTTCAGAGTGTATGCTTACGCCTTCATCACCTGGACTCTCACCTGATGATTTTGTGTACAAATCATTTATTCTCAAGCAAAGTTTTCAAAATATATTGACTATGACTGCTATATGCTGAGTGACATGACATTTTAAAGGCCAAATAAAGAGAATGACAAAATTTCAAGTGAATATGAAATTTTGGACTTATCCACCTCTGCATGATTCTTAGGTGGAATGCTACTTAATATGCCAAGAATGGCCATGATCAACATACCATATTTATTATTTACTTTTTGGTTTTTATCTCTGTTGAACTTATAATAAATATGAATGCTGAATGAACATAACGTCTTGTCTAATTGATTCTACTGGACTGATCCATTATAAGAAATAGGTATCAGCTTGAGGATTAGTTGTGCACTGAACCAGAAATGTTGTTGTTTTAAGCTGTCTAAAATATGGCCGTCTAAGTTTTGGGAGGTTACCTTCTATAGTGCCTTCACCCCAGTGATAGGTATGCCAGTATCAGTCGCATATTTAACACGACATGCGATATATGGCATGCATTATCATTACATGTAAGTGTGTGTGTGTGTGTGTGTGTGTGTGTGTGTGTGTGTGTGTGTGTTTTATTACATGTTGTTTTAAGCCACATTCAACACTTTTCCACGTATTTCACAGGGATCCGTACGCTGTACATTCATACATTCAAACCAGTGGTTGATTACATACATAAGCAAACCAACTGGGTACCGGGCCACCACAATCAGCCACCACAATCAGCCACCACAATCAGCCATGTTGCACGCCAAGACCGTCGCATGGTATGGATTCGCTGAACGTACAACCTCCATTTTGAACGGATTACATGAAACCGGCGGCACGACATGCACGTTAAGGAACACCATTAGGACGAGCGGTATGTAACATTGATTATAACCTATGTCTTTACCTCATTACACTTTACTGTATTATTGTAACAATATCTACTGATATTGTGTACATTCAAGCTCACATTAACAGTGAAATCGAGCGCAACAAATCCATGAATTTCGACATCATCATCTTTACAAATTTACAACAGAAACTGAGAATAGTACTGCTGATCGTGACATATAGTTTCTAAATAACAACCGTCCTCATTCAACACTGGAAGACATGTTGAAGTCAGAAACACCATTCCATTCCGCATGATAACAGGGTCATTCCATCCCGCATGATAACAGGTTCAACCCTCCCAGTGATGTTTACAACATCCAACTACAGCAGCCAGAAGGATACAGCAGCAAAGGAGGTATATTGATGATCAGACCTAAATATGGAATCTTTTTTCTTTGATCATCTGAACAGTATTAGATATACATTGACTTTCAGTCACTGAGACATTTTCTATTGCAATACAAAACTGATTTTAATAAACGGAAATTTGTTCTCTTATGGAGTGTTTATTATGCTCTGATATTTACCTACGCCATGGATGGTTAGTTGATCGAACTATACACATGATTGTCACCACTTCATTGTCCTGCATGGCTCACTCAGACAGAGGGGGATTTTACTGCGCTTTCATAGCTCTAGTTCAGGGATGTTGGCAAGCCCGAGAGAAACATACACATAGGTTGTTGTGAGGTAAACATGATATTGTCATGGTATCTAATGCCCTCACCTGCGATACATATACAAGGTTTGTTTGCCACAACATACGATGCATATATACCCCTCATTGCTTCGTTGTAGTCACTTCAGCTTGTTAACGAGAACCCTGTGAAGATAGGTCTTCCGCAACCCATGCTTGTAAGAGGCGACTAACGGGATCGGGTGGTCAGGCTCGCTGACTTGGTTGACACATGTCATCGTGTCCCTATTGCGCTGATCGATTCTCCTTCATTTGGTCTGGTCCCGATTATATACAGACCGTCGCCATATACCCGGTAGTTGGAATATCGCGGCGTTGAACAAAACACAACCAAAAGCAAACAAAATGTTAACAAGAATCTGCATAGAAACACCCCTCATTGACAAGAAACAAGAAGAAATTGCTATGCATAAGGTTTTACCTTATTTGCTCAAAAGAGTCTACAACGCCAGTCCAACAATTATTCAGGGTAAAACCTGAAGAGAGATGATTATTTCCAGAATTTAGGGGAGCAAGTATATTTTTCCAAAAGCATCCTACTTTACAGCCCACTCTCAAGCATCGACATGTATCTGGTTGATCTTGCTTAACTGGTGGCATCATAAACTACATCATAATATATAGATACACATTTCGTCAACATCTGGAATCATCACATGTTGACAGTGAGTCATAAATCCTGCAGCAGACCTGTCTTAGGATTATATCAAGTTTTCGTATTGCTCTGATTTTGTAAAGTGTAACCAAATAATGTTGTGTTGTGTTTTTTAGACAGAAAGATCTTATTTTAAGTATGAGTTATGTTTGCACTGTATTAGCGACTAGTCACAACTATATATGCCGCCGTCATGAACGACCTTCACCTTGGTGTACCGCTAAGTATTCTTACGCGAATGCTCGATTCTCTTCACGTACGATTTGCTTCTATTTTTAGAGTAATTTTAAGAATGACATTATATGATAAAGGGATTATTAAATCGTGTGTTTCCGTATCATTAATATCATATATTAGGAATAAAAATTATGTATTATGTATTATGCTCGCCAAAGGCTCGCATAATACAATTTTTATTCCTAATATATGATATTAATGATACGGAAACACACGAGGTTAATAATCTCTATATATCGACCTCCTTGAGAACAATGAAACCTATGGCGTGACATAATTTGCATGAAGCATGAAATGCTGTGAAAATATCAGAATATTTTCACTACTATCAGTGGGGTAATACATGTATATGTGTTCACATGGATAGTTTTCTCTACATCTACAGGTTCTCCCCAGTCTCAAATACTCGTGTAGTAATATATATGTTAGGTTCTTAAAATACATATAACGTAAATATACTTGGCACATAAAGAAACTGTGCATACAAAAATTTTAAATCTAAATTTATCAAACCTGTGTAGACACATAAGGATTTAAACTCAGAGATTAGTGACATGTATCCAACATGCATGCACGTGCCACGTTCCGTGACGTCAGTGGGTTCGTCCTTGAGACGTGCAGTACGTTGTTGCACGTGCATTCCGGGAAAGAGAAACAGAGCAAATGAATGCCACACAATACTGTCACGTTGGAAAGCTCAACCCCTGCCCTTGCGATCGTTCAAACAATTAAACGGCTATTGAAACGCATAGCATGCCAAGGCTCACGTCTGCACAACGTCATGAGGCCATTGGGGTGGTCCGTGGGGGAATATCTCAACGACAAGTGGCTGCACATTTCCACTGCCACCGGAACACCATTTCTGCACCGGTGAGATGCTACCAGAACACAAATGACGTCATCGATCGGCCACGTTCTGGACGTCCACGTGTAACAACGCCAAGACAGGACAGATGGATAAGGGTGACCCATCTTCGCCACAGGTTTCAGACTACAATGATGACTGCCCGAACCATCCCAGGACTTCGCCGTATCCATCCTAACACAGTTCGACAACGTTTACGTCATCACGGGATCAGATCACGACGTCCCGCCATACGACCTATCCTGACACAACGTCATCGACAAGCTCGCCGAATGTGGTGCCGAAATCATGTCCGCAGACCCTTGTTTTGGTGGAGAATTGTTATTTTTACAGATGAGTCCAGGTGTAACATTTCCCATAGTGATGGACGTCAACGTGCCTATAGACGCGTGGGAGAAACGTTATTCACAGGCCTGTGTCTTGGAGAGGAATCGCTTTGGTGGTGGTTCCGTGATGATTTGGGGTGGAATAACAGCACGCCAAAGAACTCCTTTGGTGATTGTTCAGGGCAACTTAACTGGTGTGGGCTACAGGGATCAGATTCTTCGACCTGTGGCAATTCCTTTTCTGCAACGTCATGGCCCTGGGTTAACATTCCAACAGGACAATGCCCGCCCTCATACGGCAAGGGTTGCTATGGATTTCTTGCAACACCACAACGTTGACTTACTGCCTTGGCCAGCAAATTCACCGGATCTCTCCCCGATAGAGCATGTTTGGGACGAGATGGATCGACGTCTACGCCGTCTTCCTCATCCGCCAGATAACGTCCTTGACCTTGCAACAGAGCTTGAGAGAATCTGGCGTGACATCCCACAAGCCTTCCTTGCACGTTTGATAGGGTCTATGCGTCGTCGATGCACTGCTGTTCTCAATGCCGATGGTGGACATACCCGTTATTGAGCTTGTGACATGGTCGTTTGACCCCTGTCCCGCTTGTGGACTCGTGACGTCATTGTGATTGACTTTTCAATTGAAATTCTCCCGACATGTTATGGTCTCATGATCCCTCCATTAAAGTTTATATGTACCTTTGACATTGTTATCGTACTTATCAACTGAGATAATATTTTGACAATGCACAGTTTCTTTATGTGGCTAGTATAATATGGTACGTACACAGGCCACAAAAAATAGTACGAGAGAGAATTGTTTTGGAAAATATATTGAAAATTCAAAGAATTATTGTTGATACTCTCTGTGCCTAATTTCTGTACCGAGCAATATAATTGAAAATAGGTTGGGACGAAGTTGTACAAGTATTCTGGCTAATATAATTTTTATATACTGTGTTAAGATGCATAGACTATCAGTTTCTTATTATGGTAATTCATTTTACAAACACTGCTTCGTTCCAACAAATGTTCACCTTCGGCGTTGTAAGCGGCACGTAATCTGCAGGTGTTCTGTGACCATGACCCTATTCTCTCACTCGAAGGTCAGGTCGGGTCACGTATGTTTTGGGGTCACTGTCAAGAGCGCGTTGTGTCCACGTCGTTTGCTGTGTGCACCCTTACAAACAGCAGTTATGTCAGCGATGGACAAATATGCATTGCAAATGAGAAGCGGAAGGGTAATGCCTGCAGTTGGACTTGGGACGTTAGCCCCCAAAGAGGTAATGTACGAAACTGCATGAAATAGTGCTCGCTAGCGGAACTTGCCTTGTTCCGAGGCCTGTATGGGTTACACCGGCTTGATGTTAGTTTATTTGACGAGAATCTCAATGCAGCTGATTAAGGGAGTTAATATACGCGCGTCTGAAGATATATTTTATATCTCATCAACTGGTTGCGAGTATCTAAGCAGCATGTGTAACAAGAGTGCAGGGGTCCTGAGTAGAGATAACCAACAAACTACAGCAAATGGCGAACAGCTGATATGATAACGGGGGCCCCTTTGGGGTTGGAATAGAATTAGTACTTGAGCTCAGCGACGATAGATAATTGTTTGATGCCTTAATTTATGATTGATAGGAGTCAGTTTGTAATGTTAGATAACGCATTACTTATCAATTATGAAGACTTTATGTTTAAATGTTGTTTCATGGATTCCTTCAGCTCTAAGATGTTTTGGGAGTTTTAACAGAAAAGATTTAATGAATCTTGGAAAAGAATGGTGGAGACTTAAAATTGGTATTAGGTGTTGTGTTTGACTTAAAGCGTGTATGCTGTTACATGTATCAGTAAAACCAATGAAGACTGGGTTAGATTTGGTCTTCAGCAGCCAATTCTTGCCTGAAGACACAATTATATGGAATAGGGTGGTGAGGCAGACACACTCTGACACACATACACACACATAATGACGCCTCATGCGCACATAATTTGACACACATACACACACATAATGACGCCTAATGTGCACACACTCTGACACACATACACACACATAATGACGCCTCATGCATACACACACACACACACACACACACACACATATAATGGCGCCTCCGTGCACACTCTGACACACACACACATAATGATGCCTCATGCACACACAAACACACTCTGACACACACACATAATGACACATACACACATAATGGCGCCTCATGCGCACACACTGACACACACATACACACATAATGGCGCCTCAAGCACACATTCACACACATAATGATGCCTCATGCGCGCACGCACGCACACACACACACACACAGAGTCACACATAATGATGCCTCATGCCCACTTTGACACACATACATACTGGTGATAGGAGCAAACATACCTAGCAAGCCCCTAAAGACAGGCACAACAAGACAAGCTATGTAACCATCATTATTTACTCAGTCTTGTTAACATGAGACCTTTACCTTGATCTCTCTACTTGGAGATCTGGGAACCTCTCGGAGCTTTCAGGGTCAAGATATCTACCTTCATATTAACAAGGAGATGAGCATTCAAACAGTATATGTGTTAATCTGTATTGCAAACAACTAATTGTACATAATACTTAATATCAGAAAGTTCCAAATGCAAGATAATATAGCTGTGCTATTATTCTGTGGGTCTGAGAACATGGCATACTTACATGAAAGGATGTACTGTCTGGGATAAGTTGGTGCTCTGTGTCCATTTCTTTTGCCAAATACTGAACGGAGGTACTAAGGAGATAATCCTTAATTCCAAAAGTTGACATTTGATTGGCTAAACCTCACTTGAGATGCACTCTTGAGATGCTCCTATCATGCAGGTTGTCATGTTAAAGTTCCCAGGAAGTTCACTGGTTTGATCTCTGTATATAGACATGTAGAAGTGGTACTTGTTGTTAAGGCAGGGAGAGAAATGTGACTCGTCGGCTTGTAGTCGTATAAGTCTGGGTGGTCCGACACTATGAAATATTTGGACAAGCAGATGCATTCATAGTAGTGTTGGGAATTGGTTAAAATCTCATAATTGATGATTGGTTCATTACAACCGATCAATCATCGAAAATAATTGGTTAGCGTTATTTATGAAATTTTCCTGTTTGCACAAAAGCATAAAGAAAAAGCTTGTAGTTCTTTGGTTGTTTTTCCCGCAAATTTCACATCTTTAAAGGATGACTAGTATGTTAGGAACATAAATTTCTTGGGGTATTCAATCATGACTTGGACCGAGCTTGTAGTGCTCATGAAATGTAACAGACAAAACCAACCTTGTGAAAAAAATTGTTAATGTAAAAGGTGTTCCAGAATTGTTTGTATTCGATTATGAGAAAACATGATCGATTGCTTGGTCGTTTAGTCACTGCGACCAATTTCGATTATTTCAATTAATCGGACCACCCCTAATTCAGACACATGATGGCACACTTTATATAAGTGCAGTCATATTGAATGTGACATGAGTTTAAACCCCACCTGACATTCGATGGATCTGTCCTAAGGTTTTCAAACAGAAAGGTACTTTACTGAAGTAAACATGTGATCTGAGGCCTAAAAGAAAATGCTGTTGTTCCGATTACCCGACCGACCCTTGAATTCTGGTGCCAACCCTATTTTCTTTAAGCGGTATGAATAAAATATGCTTTCACATACCATTGTTTTTTCCCGGCACCGACAGACATGGGTCATTCTGATTGAGAAAGTCGACATGATGGCCGCAAGCTTGATTAAATAAACAATTACACATTGATAAATGTGTTATTAGTTTGTACTTTACTTCTAAAAGAATATGTAAAAAAAAAATCCTACCTACCTACCCTAAATTTTAAAGAGGTGTAATCGGAACCACAACATTTTGTTTATTTGGCCTACATGAGATTGTTAGTTTGGTCTTGTACATGTAAACTGGGGGAAGTTGGTAGAACATTTCACAAGCCTATGCTGCATCCAATGTGTCTAAATTGTGGGTGACAACCAAGATATATATTGCTGAATGTTGAGTAGTCTCGGGAAAGTTGGATCAGTGGAGATGTCTGACACAGGTGTGTCTCGGGACTGTCAGTTGTTGGAAGTTTAGGCTCAGCTCCTGTAATAGAAAGATTTACTCACCAATCACTGTTAGTGATGATAATTGTAAATGTGTGACAACTGTCAAATGGCTGGAATATTGCATTATTAAACATATTAAACAACAAACAATGAAACTATTATTAAGCTGTCCTGCTGGAACTTTGAGCTGAACACATAGTCTGTGTACATCTTCTTGGAACACAGAAATAAATTAGGATGAGATAATCTTTTGGAGGGACAGAGTTGGATCAAATGGCTGAATTATCCATTTATGTCCATGCTGGATGAAAGTTCCATGTTTTGCTAGAATGTTGATATGGTATTTCTGTACACTAAGAAGAACTTTGTGATCAGCCAGTGAGCACAGGTAGCTTTACAGTTGACGCATCTAAGTGTTTTATAATTATCGTTGTCGTCGCATCATCAACATGGTCTGTGGAGCCGCTGTGCACACGTGACCTGCAGTTAAGTGGTAAGCCTGTCTGAAGCAGGGAGTCTTTGTACTTGATTTGGGTTGTAAGGAAATGAGTAGATGTAAGCAATGAAATGATATGATGCCTTCCTCTGCAGTCTGAAGAAGATGTGATTGCTGCCGTGAAGACTGCTGTCCGTGCAGGCTACCGCCACATTGACTGTGCGGCCATCTATCGGAACGAACGTGCAGTGGGACACGCCATCAAGCAGTTGATAGTAGAGGGCATTGTCCGCCGAGAAGATCTCTTCATCACGAGTAAGGTACGCAGATTGTTTCAGTGAGGGGGATGTATTGGATATATCACAGTTTATCATAAATCTACTTTGGTCCCAAGATGGGTCAGTTAAAGTTCCCAAATGGGAATGAATAATTTCCCATTTTGTGGGTTTGAGTGGGCAAGCCCATTGACCAACAGTGTTTACAGGTAATGTTCGTATTGTTGGTACTTGTAGTGTACAGTATATTCAGCCTTTGTACTTGACAGAACCCACACATTTGACAATGGATGACCAGATGGTGGAGACATGAATATGTACATAAACACAAAGTGTCAAAATGGTGGCCACCCGGGGCAAGTGACTCAGGTCATGTGTGTCTCTATTCAATGGGCAGGCATTCTGTATCCTAAATGTTTAAGTCGATGTAAAACCCTCCAGTACTTGTAGGCATGTGGAATTGTGTACTCCCAAGGAAGCTGAGAATGATAACTGGAATGATTATGGATCCACTATTCAGAGATCATAGAATCTTGCATAGATCCCCTCTTCTGGATAAGCTCCTGGATTTATGAGGAGTTGAGTGAGTGTAAGGGTTGGGTTCATGTTTTTGCTAGTGTTTAGATGGGTGATTGGGTGAGTCGGGTGTATAAGTGAGGGAAGGAGACATTGAGCATAAAATGTTATTAGCTTTTATATTTCCTCCAGATCTTAAAGTGAAAAGAGTTCTAATATTACAGCATAATTTTGTTAAAGCTAGATGCTTCTTTGTCCAAGTAACTTTCAGAAAATGTAAGGCAAAAAACTGTGTCACATAGATAAGATGTCTCCTGAGTGTGGCTTGAAATTACAAAACAATTGTGTATATATCTGTGGAGTATTTTTAACAGCTTCTGTAATTTTGTCAGTTATGGAATACCTGTCATCGAGCAGATCTGGTAGGTCCGAGTCTCCGCAAGTCCCTGGAGGATCTTGGGTTGAAGTACTTGGACCTGTACTTGATGCACTGGCCGGTAGCATACAAGGTAAGTTGGTGGGACAGGTTTAACAGTCTAGTGTCGGGACATTGTATAACACATATGTACAATGCATAACACAAAATGTATAACACAGAATGACACTATGACAGAGATGGACAATGTACAACACAGATGGACATTGTATAACTGATGACCATTGTATGACACAGATGGACAATGTATAACACAGAATGACACTATGACAGAGATGGACAATGTACAACACAGATGGACATTGTATAACTGATGACCAATGTATGACACAGATGGACAATGTATAACACAGATGGACAATCTATGACAGAGATGGACAATGTATAACACAGATGGACAATGTATAACACAGATGGACATTGTATAACTGATGACCAATGTATGACACAGATGGACAATGTATAACACAGATGGACAATGTATAACACACAGATGGACATGACAGAGATGGACAATGTATAACACAGATGGACAATGTATAACACGGACATGACACAGATGGATAATGATGACACAGATGGACAATGTATGACACAGACAGATGGACAATGTATAACACAGATGGACAATGTATAACACAGAATGACACACAGATGGACAATGTACAACACAGATGGACATTGTATAACTGATGACCAATGTATGACACAGATGGACAATGTATAACACAGAATGACACTATGACAGAGATGGACAATGTACAACACAGATGGACAATGTATAACACAGAATGACACTATGACAGATGGACAATGTATAACACAGAATGACACTATGACAGATGGACAATGTATAACACAGAATGACAGATATGACAATGTATAACACAGAATGACACTATGACAGATGGACAATGTATAACACAGATGACAATGTATATGACAATGTATGACACAGATGACAATGTATAACACAGATGGACAATGTATACACAGAAGATGATATGACAGATGGACAATGTATAACACAGAATGACAGATATGACAATGTACAACACAGATGGACAATGTATAACACAGATGGACAATGTATAACACAGATGGACAATGTATAACACAGATGGACAATGTATAACACAGAATGACAGATATGACAATGTATAACACAGAATGACAGATATGACAATGTATAACACAGAATGACACTATGACAGATGGACAATGTATAACACAGAATGACAGATATGACAATGTATAACACAGAATGACAGATATGACAATGTATAACACAGAATGACAGATATGACAATGTATAACACAGAATGACACTATGACAGATGGACAATGTATAACACAGAATGTCAGATATGACAATGTATAACACAGAATGACACTATGACAGAGATGGACAATGTATGACACAGATGGACATTGTATAACTGATGACCATTGTATGACACAGATGGACATTGTATGACACAGATGGACAGTGTATAAAGCATAGGAGATTGGATGTATACAAAGACAGTGTAGATATCCAAACTATTTACGGAACTGTATTTAATGCAAAGCTTGTTTTGCCTTGAATCCAGTGGACGAGGAGCTGGAGCACTTAATTAACTGATAAGAAATGTAGGTGAGTTGGTCAGTGTCGGACGTTATCAGGCCCTGTGTTGGATGGTCACTAATATACAGGGTGAGCTGGTTGTAGATCCACTGCTTCCCATCTGCTTTACAAGTATTCCTGGCAAAGTGCCAGCTTACCTACATTCCCTCCACATGCTGGCTGTAGAGGCAGGTTAAGGAAATCTTGTGACACTATATCATGGCTGTCTGCTGGAGGGACTCGTTGGTTATGTTCATTCAATGATAGGTTAATGGATCACCAATGATTAAAAAATCAAAAGTGGACTAATGAACTCTGATTGAACTATCAACATGCACTTCAAATGTACATATCTTTTGCCAATGACCAAGGTACACTGAGGATTCTAGGTATGGCATGTATGTTTCGTCTGTTTCAACTTATAAGGATTTAAGTATGCAGTTTCACATCCTCAGTATCAATACAGATTTACTGCAGTCAGCTTGATCAGTTTGTGTGTTTGTTCTTCAGGAGGGTGGAGCCTTCCACCCCTGGGATGGGGACACAGGAAAGGTTCTGTTTTCTGATGTGGATTACCTGGAGACGTGGAAGGTAACAGCACTGATTCCGGCTTCTGTCACTTGGGTTTGTCTGACAGACACTAGAAGACTGTTTAGATGAGAGTGTTATTCTGGCCTCTAATACTGTCATGTGGGTTTGTCTGACAGGCACTAGAAGACTGTGTAGATGAGAGTGTTATTCTGGCCTCTAATACTGTAACTTGGGTTTGTCTGACAGACACTAGAAGACTGTGTAGATGAGAGTGTTATTCTGGCCTCTAATACTGTAACTTGGGTTTGTCTGACAGGCACTAGAAGACTGTGTAGATGAGAGTGTTATTCTGGCCTCTAATACTGTCATGTGGGTTTGTCTGACAGGCACTAGAAGACTGTTTAGATGAGAGTGTTATTCTGGCCTCTAATACTGTAACTTGATTTGTCTGACAGGCACTAGAAGACTGTGTAGATGAGAGTGTTATTCTGGCCTCTAATACTGTAACTTGATTTGTCTGACAGGCACTAGAAGACTGTGTAGATGAGAGTGTTATTCTGGCCTCTAATACTGTCATGTATATTTGTCTGGCAGGCACTAGAAGACTGTGTAGATTTGCAGGCACTAGAAGACTGTGTAGATGAGAGTGTTATTCTGGCCTCTAATACTGTCATGTATATTTGTCTGACAGGCACTAGAAGACTGTGTAGATGAGAGGGTTATTCCGGCCTCTAATACTGTCATGTGGGTTTGTCTGACACACACTAGAAGACTGTGTAGATGAGAGGGTTATTCCGGCCTCTAATACTGTCATGTATATTTGTCTGACAGGCACTAGAAGACTGTGTAGACGAGGGTGTTATTCCAGCCTCTAATACTGTAACGTGGGTTTGTCTGACAGGCACTAGAAGACTGTGTAGATGAGGGTCTGACACTGGACATCGGGATGTCCAACTTCAACAGCAAGCAGCTGCAGAGAATCTTGACTGAAGCCAGAATACAGCCCAGTATGAACCAGGTGAGATCAACCTCAACTTTAAGTGGAGGTTTAGAATAAATCCCCATTAATGTTTATCTGACATGACATTTGGCTGAAACAGGATCAAAATGTACACATGACTTATAATGTTCCTCAGACACAATTGTCTCTGAAGATGTAAAATTTAACTGGGATCCACTGTGCTTCTTGCATGAATAAACTGGGTTTTTTTCAGCTTGAAGTGAATTGTCATAATACCAACAGGAAGCTGATAGAGTTCTGTCAGTCACAGGGAGTTCCTGTTGTGGCGTTTGCACCTCTTGGAACTCCTAGCAGCAGCCCGTGAGTACATGAAGGTGTTAGACCATTCCCTTGTGAGCTTCCTATAGTTGGCACTACTGTAACATGACATGATGTGAGGTGCTCCTTGGTTATACAGTGCTTTGTATGATAAAAACTGCCGACAAAATTATAATCCTCATCATATGGAGGGAAGATATAAGATTCTCATTAAAATATTAATATTTTGATTCATGCACTTCAATCAGTTTGTAAGTGTTAACAGGGCTCGAAAATTCCACTTGTCCGTTCGTATTGACGAGTAAAATTTGTTTTGTGCAAGTGAAAAACATAATTTACTCGTCCTAGAGGACGGTGACTGGTGTTGAAAGAGTTAAACAGAGGAGGTGGAAATTTTAATTTAATCTAATGTTTTAAAAATCCTGTCATTTATTACGCGCTTGCCAGGTGTCATTAATATTTTCAACAAGGTAATATAGTTCACTATTTCATGCTTTGTTGGGTTTACAATATCCACTTTGTTGATTTGTAATCTGCTTGTTTTCTCAAATATTTCAAATCTGAACTGCGTATTGTCTACAAAGCCAAGGGAAGTAACATTTTTATTTTTATTTAAAATGTTCAGCTATTTTAAATGGTGAGCTAATTAGCAGACAAAGTAAGTAATGTTTTTTGTAGTTTTATTGAAGCAAACATTTTGAAATAAAATAATTTAAATTTACTTTCATTATGGTGCATAGGGCAAGTACAATTTTAGAAGGACGAGTGGAAAGTTCATATTACTTGCCCTGCAGGGCGAGTGTAGATTGTTTAATTTTTCGAGCCCTGCTTAAAATGTCAGGGGTCGACCATCATCTTAGGCAGCACAATTGGCTTACAGAGTTATGTCCCTTAGATGTACCAGCAGCCTATATTCATGGGTTCAAATGCCCAGACTTGTCAGCTCCAAACGTGCTCCTGATACATATATATCTGACCCAGTGACAACTGAACTACCTCAGTCAGTCAGTCACTGTCGATGGAGAACATGTTGCCTGTCTCACATGGTGTTCAGGAGCCAGTGTTGTGTCACAGTGTTGTGTCGCAGTGTTGTGTCGCAGTGTTGTGTCGCTGTCTGCAGCAGGAGGGGAGGAACATAGATTCGGTTCTATTAGGAATTTGTTCTTAGTATTTTGTTCTCATTGGTGAGCAACTATTATACATGTTTATGAAAAAAATGAACATGTTCAAAATGTTCAGAAATATTTGAATTTTTGCAATGTTTGTTTCCAGTCCTGTAGAATGAGTTTTTTGTAACTGTCACCAATTTGTGTCTGTGATACCTAGGTCCGACAAGAAAGTCTCTCTGCTTGATGAACCTGTTGTGAAAGAAATTGCTTCAACGAAAAACCGGTCACCTGGTCAGGTGAGTGTGTGGAGAGTTGATTAAGACAAGGAAGAGATCATCAACCTGTGTGTGTCGGATGTTATGGGATCATTGGATTTGTGAACTTAAGCACTGCTTCTCTTGTCAGGATCAGCAAACTTCTACTCAAGCAATGGATCAGTGGGAAATTATGTGTATGGGGAAAATCTTGTGACAACTGTTGATAGGATGTATTCTTAATCAGCCCTTTACCTCATTGTTTGTTTGTCTCGGTAATGTCACACCTGGGAATATATCGCAGGTGTGACAGGCTCCTGTAACACAGTGTGGACCAGACAAACTCATGTTTGTGTGAATGATGTAGGGAGGAAGACATTCAGTCAACCTGTTGACAAGCCTGGCCAACCTCATTAACTCGCCTCTTTGGCCAGTATAGGTTGTCGGGGACCTGTTAGTTCCCACAGGGCTTTTGTGAAGTGATGTGAAGGCTGTGAGTGTTTAGCTCCAATTGTTTAATGTACATGAAGTATCTCATCACTGAGATGGCATGGTGGACTGTGTGGCAGACAGGTGACTTGCTGATAGAGGACTGTCACTTCCAGCAGGATCATGTTCCTTGACATGGTATATTTATTCTAACATTTTCACTCCCATTGTGTACGGATGTGTATCTTCTCATATTCAGCATGTTTTTGCGTTATGGATGCAATCATTTGGGCATTTTTACAGTTTTTAAAAATAGTTATAATTAAAATTGTGATTTTGGTAGACTGACTGACTGAGTTAATTTTGACGCCGGTTTTAGCAATATTCCAGCAACATCACGGCGGGGGACAGCAGAAATGGGCTTCACACAATGTACCCAACGGAACCCGGGGTCTTCTGCGTGAGATTTTGGTAGATATGTATATATGTATCCATACGTGCATATATTTCTGATAAACTCTCAACAACCAACTAGACCCGTAATTAACAATAGGCAAGACCCTGCCCTGTTATGCATTATTAGATGTGTAATGGGGATGCCTGTAGGTCTCAGCAACTGCAATAAGATATATAGAGAATTCATCAGTGTTGTTATACTATTGTGCTTTTTCATTTGTTTATGCATATTGTGTGCAAGCAATTTAATGTTAATTTGGTTCCAGTGATTCCCATATGATCTGGATGTCTGTAAAACTGTGATGGCATTGTCCTTGTTTGGGAGTGTCACTGGTCTGTGGATGCCATGTTTGAGGACCTTGAGCAACTAAATGGTTCTCCATTTGTCTTCAGGTGTGTCTAAGATTTCTCATACAGCTTGGGATCGGAGTTGTGCCGAAAAGTGTCAATGCAGCTCGGATAGCACAAAACATTCAGGTAAATTTGAAAATAAGTCACTTTCAATTTAACTTAAAAGATTTTACCACAAATTGTGCATGTTTAGACTATAATTATGGATGGGAACTTATTACTTTTTGGTTAATTTGTAGATCTTTGACTTTGACTTATCTGAAGAGGAAATGCAGAAACTTTCATCACTGAACATCAACTACAGAACATATGCAGAGGACATGTGAGTTGTTTAGTCCTAGTTATTGTATGGTACATGTTTGTGGTGGCAATATTGTACAGGCAGTACATGTGTTCATTGTTGTACAGACAGTAACCTAAGGGCATTGTTGGAAAGACAATAATCCAGGGGCATTGTTACACTTTAAGTAACACTGAGGCATTGTTACACAGACAGTAACATTGAGGCATTGTTACACAGACAGTAACATTGAGGCATTGTTACACTTTAAGTAACATTGAGGCATTGTTACACAGACAGTGACATTGAGGCATTGTTACAGAGACAGTAACATTGAGGCATTGTTACACAGACAGTGACATTGAGGCATTGTTACAGAGACAGTAACATTGAGGCATTGTTACCCAGACAGTGACATTGAGGCATTGTTACAGAGACAGTAACATTGAGGCATTCTTACACAGACAGTGACATTGAGGCATTGTTACAGAGACAGTAACATTGAGGTATTGTTACACTGACAGTAACATTGAGGCATTGTTACAGAGACAGTAACATTGAGGCATTGTTACACAGACAGTGACATTGAGGCATTGTTACACAGACAGTGACATTGACAGGCATTGTTACAGAGACAGACATTGAGGCATTGTTACAGAGACAGTGACATTGAGGCATTGTTACACAGACAGTGACATTGAGGCATTGTTACACAGACAGTGACACTGAGGCATTGTTACACAGACAGTGACATTGAGGCATTGTTACACAGACAGTGACATTGAGGCATTGTTACACAGACAGTGACATTGAGGCATTGTTACACAGACAGTAACATTGAGGCATTGTTACACAGACAGTGACATTGAGGCATTGTTACACAGACAGTAACATTGAGGCATTGTTACACAGACAGTGACATTGAGGCATTGTTACACAGATAGTGACATTGAGGCATTGTTACACAGATAGTGACATTGAGGCATTGTTACACAGATAGTGACATTGAGGCATTGTTACACAGACAGTGACATTGAGGCATTGTTACACAGACAGTGACATTGAGGCATTGAGTAACAGTGACATTGAGGCATTGTTACACAGACAGTGACATTGAGGCATTGTTACACAGACAGTGACATTGAGGCATTGTTACACAGACAGTAACATTGAGGCATTGTTACACAGATAAGTGACATTGAGGCATTGTTACACAGATAGTGACATTGTTACACACAGACAGTGAGGCATTGTTACACAGACAGTGACATTGAGGCATTGTTACACATTGAGGCATTGTTACACAGACAGTGACATTGAGGCATTGTTACACAGATAGTGACACTGAGGCATTGTTACACAGATAGTGACATTGAGGCATTGTTACACAGACAGTGACATTGAGGCATTGTTACACAGATAGTGACATTGAGGCATTGTTACACAGATAGTGACATTGAGGCATTACACAGATTACACAGATTGTTACACAGACAGTGACACATTGAGGCATTGTTACACAGACAGTGACATTGAGGCATTGTTACACAGACAGTGACACTGAGGCATTGTTACAGACAGTGACACTGAGGCATTGTTACACAGACAGCATTGACATTGAGTGGCATTGTGACACTGACAGTGACATTGAGGCATTTTTTCACAGATAGTGACACTGAGGTATTGTTACACTGACAGTAACATTGAGGCATTGTTACACTGAGTGACATTGAGGCATTGTTACAGAGACAGTAACATTGAGGCATTGTTACACAGATAGTGACATTGAGGCATTGTTACACAGATAATGACATTGAGGCATTGTTACACAGACAGTGACACTGAGGCATTGTTACAGAGACAGTGACATTGAGGCATTGTTACACAGACAGTAACACTGAGGCATTGTTACAGAGACAGTGGCATTGAGGCATTGTTACACAGACAGTAACATTGAGGCATTGTTACACAGACAGTAACATTGAGGCATTGTTACAGAGACAGTAACACTGAGGCATTGTTACACAGACAGTAACATTGAGGCATTGTTACACTGACAGTAACATTGAGGCATTGTTACACAGACAGTGACATTGAGGCATTGTTACACTGACAGTGGCATTGAGGCATTGTTACACAGACAGTGACATTGAGGCATTGTTACACTGACAGTAACATTGAGGCATTGTTACACAGACTGTGACATTGAGGCATTGTTACACAGACAGTGACATTGAGGCATTGTTACACAGACAGTAACATACGTTTGTTGTAGTGCAGTGGGACATAGTTATATAGACAATAACTATGGGGCATTGTTGTAGAGACAATAACTGTGGGGCATTGTTATACAGGCAGTAACATAGGTTCATTGTTGTAGAAACAATAACTGTGGGGCATTGTTATACAGGCAGTAACATAGGTTCATTGTTGTAGAAACAATAACTGTGGGGCATTGTTATACAGGCAGTAACATAGGTTCATTGTTGTAGAGACAATAACTATGGGGCATAGTTATACAGGCAGTCACCTGGGGGCATAATTGTACAGAGAGTATCATAGGGGCATTGTTACATAGACTGTAACAGGGGCATTGTTACATTGACTGTAACATGGGCATTGTTACATTGACTGTAACATGGGCATTGTTACATTGACTGTAACATGGGGGCTTTGTTTTACAGTCACGTGGGGGCATTGTTGTACAGACAGTAACATAGGGGCATTGTTACATTGACTGTAACATGGGCATTGTTACATTGACTGTAACATGGGGGCTTTGTTTTACAGACAGTCACTTGGGAGCATTGTTGTACAGACAGTAACATAGGGGCATTGTTACATTGAGTGTAACATGGGGGCATTGTTATACAGACAGTCACTTGGGGGCATTATTGTACAGAGAGTATCATAGGGGTCATTGTTACATGGACTGTAACAGGGGCATTTTTACATTGACTGTAACATGGGGGCTTAGTTCTACAGACAGTCACTTGGGAGCATTGTTGTACAGACAGTAACATAGGGGCATTGTTTCATAGACTGTAACATAGGGACATTGGTGCACAGTGACATTATTCTATAGACAGTAACATAGGGGCATTGTTGTACAGACTGTAAATGTTGGGTATTATGTCAAGAGAAGTAGGGATAATTTAGCAAGCAGCCTGACTGATGCATGACATCAGGACCACACAAACCAGGGTGATGATGTCTCTGTTCAACTCCCAACAATTACATTCCTTACCAGGTTGAAGTATTGTCATAGTTCAGGGAGTTGTCACTCTGATGCTAGATATCTTTCTATTTAGTCAGAACAAGTATGCACCAGGTTCATATTTCTTTCCAGAGCCACAGAACACAAGTATTACCCGTTTCATGAGGAGTTTTAGTGAAGCAGGGGAGACAACTCTACCAAGCTTGGAAACCTTTTCAACCATATTCCCCAAACAAGTATTTCCATGTGATCATGCATGACATGAAGGCTGCTGCACAGTAGCACAGTCGCAATTATTCCAGCATTCTCACAAAGCAGACAATCCGGTGATTTAAGGATGACAAACAGACCCTGTCAACATCGTGTGAAGACACACTTCAAGGCTAAATGAGAAGCTATGAGTGTGTGAAGACAAGCTATCATAGCGTGAAGACAAACTATCATAGCGTGAAGACAAACTATCATAGCGTGAAGAGAAACTATCATAGTCTGAAGACAAGTTATGTTAGTGTGAAGACAAACTATAATAGCATGAAGACAGCTATCAGGGCATGATGACATGCTATCAACCAAAACACAAAGTCTGACCCCAGATCCAGTTCAGTCTACCAAGTGATGTCATTGGTCTGGGGACCTGCTTTAACCCAGTACTAGGGACTGCTTTAACCCAGTACTAGGGACTGCTTTAACCCGCTGCTTTAACCCAGTACTAGGGGCTGCTTTAACCCCAGTACTAGGACTGCTTTAACCCAGTACTACCCAGTACTAGGGGCTGCTTTAACCCAGTACTAACTGCTTTTAACTAGTACTAGGGGCTGCTTTAACCCAGTGCTTTAACCCAGTACTAGGGGCTGCTTTAACCCAGTACTAGGGGCTGCTTTAACCCAGTACTAGGGGCTGCTTTAACCCAGTACTAGGGGCTGCTTTAACCCAGTACTAGGGACTGCTTTAACCCAGTACTAGGGGCTGCTTTAACCCAGTACTAGGGGCTGCTTTAACCCAGTTCTAGGGGCTGCTTTAACCCAGTACTAACCCAGTTACTAGGGGCTGCTTTAACCCAGTTCTAGGGGCTGCTTTAACCCAGTACTAGGGGCTGCTAGGGGCTGCTTTAACCCAGTACTAGGGGCTGCTTTAACCCAGTACTAGGGGCTGCTAGGGGCTGCTTTAAACCCAGTACTAGGGGCTGCTTTAACCCAGTACTAGGGTACTGCTGCTTTAACCAAGTGCTAGGGGCTGCTTTAACCCAGTACTAGGGGCTGCTTTTTAACCCAGCTGCTTTAACCCAGGGGCTGCTTTAACCCAGTACTAGGGGCTGCTTTTAACCCAGTGCTCTAGGGCTGCTTTAACCCAGTTCTAGGGGCTGCTTTTAACCCAGTACTAGGGGCTGCTTTAACCCAGTACTAGGGGCTGCTTTAACCCAGTACTAGGGGCTGCTTTTAACCCAGTGCTAGGGTGCTTTAACCTAGTACTAGGGCTGCTTTAACCCAGTACTAGGGGCTGCTTTTAACCCAGTGCTAGGGGCTGCTTTAACCCAGTACTAGGGGCTGCTTTAACCCAGTACTAGGGGCTGCTGCTTTAACCCAGTACTAGGGGCTGCTTTAACCCAGTGCTAGGGGCTGCTTTAACCCAGTACTAGGGGGCTGCTTTAACCCAGTACTAGGGACTGCTTAGTCTAGGGGCTGCTTTAACCCAGTACTAGGGGCTGCAGTATTAGGGGCTTTAACCCAGTACTAGGGGCTGCTTTAACCCAGTACTAGGGGCTGCTGCTTAACCCAGTACTAGGGACTGCTTGCTTTTTAACCCAGTTCTAGGGGGCTGCTTTAACCCAGTAGGGCTGCTCTAGGGGCTGCTTTAACCCCAGCTGCTTTAACTAGGGGCTGCTTTAACCCAGTACTAGGGGCTGCTTTTAACCCAGTACTAGGGGCTGCTTTTAACCCAGTGCTAGGGGCTGCTTTAACCCAGTACTAGGGGCTGCTTTAACCCAGTGCTAGGGGCTGCTTTAACCCAGTGCTAGGGGGCTGGGCAGTGCTAGGGGCTGCTTTAACCCAGTGCTAGGGGCTGCTTTAACCCAGTGCTAGGGGCTGCTTTAACCCAGTTCTAGGGGCTGCTTTAACCCAGCTAGGGGCTGCTTTAACCCAGTGGGCTAGGGGCTGCTTTAACCCAGTGCTAGGGGCTGCTTTAACCCAGTGCTAGGGGCTGCTTTAACCCAGTGCTAGGGGCTGCTTTAACCCAGTGCTAGGGGCTGCTTTAACCCAGTGCTAGGGGCTGCTTTAACCCAGTGCTAGGGGCTGCTTTAACCCCTAGGGGCTGCTTTAACCCACTAGGGGCTGCTTTAACCCAGTACTAGGGGCTGCTTTAACCCAGTGCTAGGGGCTGCTTTAACCCAGTGCTAGGGGCTGCTTTAACCCAGTGCTAGGGGCTGCTTTAACCCAGTACTAGGGGCTGCTTTAACCCAGTACTAGGGGCTGCTTTAACCCAGTACTAGGGGCTGCTTTAACCCAGTTCTAGGGGCTGGGCTGCTTTAACCCAGTACTAGGGGCTGCTTTAACCCAACCTAGGGGCTGCTTTAACCCAGTACTAGGGGCTGCTTTTAACCCAGTACTAGGGGCTGGCTAGGGGCTGCTTTAACCCAGTACTAGGGGCTGCTTTAACCCAGTGCTAGGGGGCTGCTTTAACCCAGTACTAGGGGCTGCTTTAACCCAGTTCTAGGGGCTGCTTTAACCCAGTACTAGGGGCTGCTTTAACCCAGTACTAGGGGCTGCTTTAACCCAGTACTAGGGGCTGCTTTAACCCAGTACTAGGGGCTGCTTTAACCCAGTACTAGGGGCTGCTTTAACCCAATAACAGAGTCCTGCTCTGACATATATACTTGTATCCACATATATTCCAGCATTCAAAATGAGGGCAAAACCTGGGGTTGCTGGGATGTCTGCATCAGGGACCCTCCCAAATCTGTAACCAGTATCATCATTATCAGTGAGATCAAGTATGGTTTTACGCCACTTTTAGCAATATTTCAGTAATATCACCGCAGGGGACATCAAAGCCAGGTGTTCAGTGTGATGAACTGATGCTTCAACCATTAGACTACCTCACCGACCCTCACAAGCATCCCTTGATTTTCATATTTTGGGGAACTGTATTTGCAGTGTGCTTCTATCCCTATATTAGAAAGGGTAAATAATGAAACACATTTAGAAAAATAAATTTGTTTTAAAAGCAAAAAAACCCAAAACTGATTATGGGATGAAAGGTTAGTCCATATTACGAATGTAGCTGCTCATAGAAACTGCTAACAATCTATCAATGAAAATCATAAACCTCCCTCGGGGTCCTCCTACCTTGCTATAGTGTGGAAATAAGAAGATATATTGTTTTGCTGTGGCCTTTCCAAGTAGTATAATGACAAAATGTATTAGGATGAAAATCTGTGCCATATACTGATCTGTAATTATCAGCATGTGTTTATATTATGTCTTATTTGTGCCATATATACTTATATGATATACACAAAGTTTCTGTGTGTTTTACCAAAGACTCATATAATTCCTTCATGGAGTGATGACAAGGCAATATCTGATATATTTCATACTTCAGGAATAAATCATTGTTGTCTGTGAGTTGTTTGTTGTGTAGAATTTCAGAACCTAGATTGACCTTAGTTTGTTACAAACAACACAAGTGTTCAACAGTACACAGGCCACCAGTCTGTCTGCAGTTTCCAGGAGGAAATGGCTGTAGCTCTTTCATCTGTAAGATGTGATAGTCAGAGTCTGGGATGACCTGGAACAGAATTATGACCTCTGCTGGAAGAGGAGTCTAAAATACATGAGTTATTGTGCACTGAAACCAGGGATTGTTAATGTGTTGAATATCAAAGTTATTTTGATGGACTGGGTCCTAACAGCTAATTGGGTATTTTGCATCGCCTTGTCACACTGGGAGAAGGTCAAGGTTGCCCCACAACGTCCGAGAAACACAGGTACAGGGGTCATTTCTTTCACAAGATCAACACAGTTATCTGTCTATAGTCGCAGGCCCCACGCAATAGGCTGCATGTAGGCTCACCTGTTCACGGGCACCAGGTGCCATTATAATTTGATAGTGATTCATAAACACATGCTACTGATGTAGTTACGGTCGTACAATGATTAAACATGCTACTGATGTAGTTACGGTCGTACAATGATGATAGTAGTCTGTCTCACAGCCCCTGAACCACATTATTTTCCCTACTGCCAAGCCCTCTCTGCAGTGCTAAAGCCATAAATAAAGCAAGTCTAGATTTCCTCAGTCTGAATCTCTGGTCTCCCTAGGGCTCCTTTTCAATATAAATGGGCTTGTTTGTTACTATCAAAATTATATATATTCAGAGACTAAGCCTTAGTCTAGCTGTCACTGGGACTTCAGCAGCTGACAATGTTGGATGGACCGGGATAAACCAGTTCAGTATTCAGCCGTTATCTCTAACTATATCAATGCACCACATCGCACGTAGTTACATTAATGCTGATTGTGACTGTGACCAATCAAGGCCTTTACTGTGATACAACACGACGAAGACAACATGCAGTCTGTCTGTGTTAGAGACGTGTGTTTGCGATGTTACGAATGTGTCCAAGGACAAGCCTCATAAATTTCTACCAAATGAAGGGTTTTTTTAATGATAACGAAATGTTGAACCGTGGAATTTGTTCATTAGATACGCCTCTATCGCGTTGCATGACGTTAAACTCTGCCCTAGTCTCTGCGTTTCTCTGACGTAAGACTGCGTTACTGACGCAGTTCGAGAGATTCTCCAAACCCAGTGCATATATTACATCTAAGTTGATTGTTTCAACCACTCCGATATTTTCATATTGCAGCAGGATCGGTGGGATATCGGTGAAGATCAATTCTGGTATATTGCTAAAAGCGGCGTAAAACCATACTCACTCACTCATATTGCAGCAAATTAACTCACATCTGGAGGGAATTAGGGAACTGGCTTCAAGCACTATTCACTATATACTAGACGGTGTCTGCACAGGACGTCGACCCTTGGGTGAAATGTCACGGTTCAGTTAAAGAAAAAGGTCGACGTCCTGTCCATTTGACTTTATACCAATTAACAGGGATTAGAAAACACAAAGAAATGATCCAGTGTTTTCACAAGGCGATAATCCAGATTATGCGGTTGAGAACACAGACAACAGGAGAAAAGTACTATAATTCGTCCATTTTATTTCGTATACAAAATCATCCAACATGAAGTAGGTGAGATGCACCATTTGCAAACTGGTTCATCTGAAAGATAGTAAAAGTAGATTTATTATTTCTTTTTACACATTCTTTTACACGGACCACGTTACACCACTCTACTGCTATATATAAATTGTTAGAATTGTTAAAATCTATTAAACGATATGCAAAACATGGTCACGTACATTATTCAGATTTGATATATCTATTTTACTTTTATATTTTCCTTAGTAACAGATTGATATCAGGCATTGACAAGATGCTTACCTTTATGTCTACTTGGACACGGGGATAAGCATGGTCACCTTTCACCATCGTCACAATGTCATTGACAGTTGACGCAGTGAAATTACACTTCTTTTCTGTGCACTTCCAGGATATCCAATTTCGCTTCACTCATAAATCCACCAACACACAGGTATCTTCCACCACTGGATGTAACTGTGTATTTATATATCGAAATTGAATGCAATCTACCGCGTGTTCCTTCCTTAAATATGTTCATCATTGTGAATTCACTCTCATATGTATGATAACATTGATGACATGTTGTGTGAACTATGTTCACGCCTTGCACGATGCTCCGGTTATGGAAAATCTTAAAACAACACCTACTAGCGGATTAGCGTGACTCTAGCAACGCCTTCAACATCAAAGTTTACCGCGGGTCGACTTCGTGTCCATAGCGAAATTTCAAAAGGTCGACTTCTTGTCCATAAACCTACTAGACAACACACATTGTGCTCGGATTTCCACGCAGAAACGGGGCGGTGGGGTAGCCTAGTGGTTAAAGCGTTGGCTCGTCACGCCGAAGACCCGGGTTCGATTCCCCACATGGGCACAGTGTGTGAAGCCCATTTCTGGAGTCCCCCGCCGTGATATTGCTGGAATATTGCTAAAAGCGGCGTAAAACTCAACTCAGTCAGTCAGTCCACGCAGAGACAACGATCCTTTACATGTAACCCACTATCTGATTAGGGGCGGTGGGGTAGCCTAGTGGTTAAAGCGTTGGCTCGTCACGCCGAAGACCCGGGTTCGATTCCCCACATGGGCACAATGTGTTAAGCCCATTTCTGGTGTCCCCCGCCGTGATATTGCTGGAATATTGCTAAAAGCGGCGTAAAACTAAACTCAGTCAGTCAGTCACTATCTGATTACCCGCATCATATTTAGTCAGAGTCTCGAACCTACTTCCAGCTTTCTGCCAGGGTCAACTACATCGAAGTTACCTAATTGTGTAGTGTTAGATATGTGAAGGTCACTACAAGAAAAGCTTTCAAGATTCTTGTATTCCTGTCACTGAACTGAAGGACAAACGAAAATCTATTCATATTCGTGGTGGGTATATGGTTGTGGAGGGTTGCCAGAGGTGTTCATATCTACATTACCTCGGTGAACCCGCTAAGATTCGACAACCAGTGCTGATACCCTGTCATGCTCGGAGACAATCCTGATTCCGTCATCATGCTCGGAGACAATCCTGATTCCGTCATCAGGCTCCCTGGCCTTCCAGGTTTCGACATAAAACTCGATGAAGTGGCGTGATGCTCATGCAGTGACTGAGAAGTTTCTTAGTCCCGTGATGGGAATCGAACCCGGACATTCTAAGCACAGGTCGGGCGTCGTGTCCGCATCAACACAAGCTGTACCTACGCCCAGACCACCCGTCACCATGTGGCGCGGCAGTAAGTAACAAACAAGCGTCATCATGGGCACATGTCATATCATTGTGCAATACAACATTAAGGTTTATTGATTCATCAGATCCGTATTGTTTGAAGATCAAAGGGAGTCTTATGATACAGGATCGGAAACAACATATGGCCAACATAACGTATTTGATATACACCTCTCGAGATGGATCTACATGACCAGTGTGTGGAAGTGTGCATGTGTTGGGGGTTGAAGGGCGAAACTCTCTTCTCGGTGGTATCAACCTTTACCTGGCATTGAACCTTCACTAATCTATCATTTGCGTGTCTCTGGGGACAAACACTTCAGCGAATATATTGCTTATTTTGTATGAACGCTTAGGAAAGACGTGCTTACAGACAGACCCGTGAAGATCCGGGTTAAAATGATCTTCAACTCATGCTTATCGTAAGAGGCGACTAACGGGATCGGGTTGTCAGGCTCGCTGACTTGGTTGACACGTATCTCAATTGCATAGAACGATGCTCATGCTGTTGATCACTGGATTGTCTGATCCAGACTCGATTATTTACAGACCGCCGCGATATAGTTGGGATATTGCTGAGTGCGGCGTAAAACTAAACTCACTCACTCAAACTCACTGTTTACAGACATAAAACAGTGAAGGTTGCTCTTCACGATAACATCTGACTTGGTCCAATTCAGAAGATATAACTAATAAATGTATAGGTACAATCATGAAAGATGAACACACCAATTACTCACTTACTGGATGATTGATGGATTAATCAGTCATAACCTTGTAATGTTGAAGTAAAAAGCTGTATCATTAGTACGTATGTCGCTTGTATCTTTGTATGAACATATAACTTTGTTATAAATGCAATCGGTTAATTTTGAAACTTTTAGTTGGATCTTCAATGTGCGTGAAGTGATTTAAAGTACTTAACACGAACACTTACTTCTTTGTGACGAAATACCCTTGACTTAAGTTCACGTTGTGTGTGTCTTCCGTACAACCATAATGTTGCCAAGAAGCTTAACGAAAAAACACAAACATTGCTACCATAAGAAGGATTTTTGTATGACAACGAACTGTGGAATTTGTGACTTGTTTGTTTCATACGCTTATGGCCTTTGTCATTACTTATACAACCATCACGCCCGGCAAGAGGCTGCTGGGTAGTACTAGATCAAGGGTGTCCATGGCAACGTTGTGCGATAAAGTCACATGCGGACATAATGCTGTGTTACCAACTGGTACATGCGTACATCTTTGGGGGCGTTTTGTCATATGTGATGGTTTGATAAGTGACATTTCTGTAAGGTTTACAAGTATGTTATCTCGTCACTCTCGCTCACTCAGCCATCCATTCTTCCACTCACTCACTCTACTTCATGTATCACAATAGTGGAATAATTGTTTTGAGTGAGTGAGTGTGGCTTTGCGCCGCTTTTAGCAATATTCCAGAAACATCACGGCGGGGGACACCAGAAATGAGCTTAACACATTGTACCCATGTGAGAATCTAACCCGGGTCTTGGTGTGACGAGCGAACGCTTTAACCATTAGGCTACCCCACCGCCCTCGTTGATTCGAATGATATGTTGTTAATCAGTTGTTTTGTGCTTATTGTATAACCGTTATGAATCGAAATACATTAAATACACAAACTATATTTTGAAATCACAGAAAAATAAATAGTAACTTAAGTTTTTCATCCAACCTGTGTGAATATGAACGTAAATCAGTCCGTTGTATTGTGTTGAAGGTCCATTTTCCATTCCATGGAATCAATATGGTGCCTGTGCTGCCGCCTTGGTGTGTACCTTAGTTCCATCAACAGGCGTGCTTTAGTTCGGAGAAAATAGAATCAGAATTACTCTTGTTTCTTCATAAAGTTTTGCTCACCTACCTATAATGTCTTATAAAGGGGAGCTTCAGTATCTTGTTTCAGTATGACGAACTTTTCGGTCTGCAGTTTGATGTATACCCATCGCCGCCGCTTTACTGTACTAACCTTCTGATAATCAGAAATAACAAACACGATCCATGTCAAACTTAGCGATTTCTCAAACCATTACCTGTTGCTTTTTACCTAATGATGAAAGTACTTCCCAAAGCTAATTATCGTCCGTGATGTCAATACATTGAGTAAAACTTCAACAGAAGAAACAACCCGCATGTGTAGTTAAACCCTGCACTCTACCGTCAGGACCGTGCAGATCTGTGACTCATGGAAAAGTACAGCCGGCAGAGAGGTTACTTGAAACGTAGTAGCGCCGAGAATATTTTCTGTATAACTTGTTCAGAAATGCGAGATAAAAACAGTGTTAATCTTTAATCTGTGTGACGTAAACACCTGTGTTCTAATGACACGCGAGTCCATAAATGTCATGGCGGTAACAGGTGGCGGGCGGATGGTGCCCCGGTCGCCGGACCCAGGAGGAAACGGAATTTATGGGGTCATTGTAGACGTTTGTTTTATTGTGAGATTTATCATAAAGCTGGCTAAGGCAAACACTGGTCACGCTGAATAACTCTCTGTCCTGTGTTAGGGAAGGGCCAGATCCTCGTTTTACAATGAGATTGTAGCTGTAGCATCCGTCATAGTAGAGATTTCTATAGCATAGGCCTACCCAAGGTACACAAACATACTGGTCATATTATAGAGTGTACCTACATGTCCATAAGACAGATCTACAGATACAGTGGCATATATACCAGCATGGATATCATTGACATACGTGTATATTAGTCCTCACATACCACAGTACAGACCTACCGAGATTAGAGATACTTATTGTCTGTTCCTTTACATAACATGTATATCCGCTTGGTGGTTCCTGCATGATAGGTGTGTGTGTGTGCGTGCGTGTGCGTGTACGTGCGTGCGTGCGTGCGCATGTTCATGTATACACCAGATTATACTGTAACCAGACTCTGTGGAATATTAATGTTAACAACCCCTTTATGAGCGAACCTTGTGGACGGGAGATCTCACTGGACCTGTGTATGACGCTCTGATCCAGCATGCTTCATCTAGTGCAGCAGGACCCATACGGCGTCGTAAGCCTTGGTATCACATGTTTACCTGACGTAATCTGTGCGTGTGTCATGTTCATGACTTGTCATAGGTTTGGAGCAGACAAACAAGTGATTGATGCTATGAACGAATTCCAATGGCGAGTCAAGGATTCTGACCACTCCAGCCATTATATCGGTTCTTACGACTAGGTCCATGGGGTATGGGTGCCGTTGTTCAAAGCAATCTAAGCGTTCAGGTGTTGTAACTCCCATATTCTTACAAAGACGTAGTACTATCGTAGTGTTATGGTTGTACAACGGCACCCAGTCCCAACCAGGAATCTCCGCAGGGAGCTGCTCACTCGGAACTGTCAAAACGACTCCAAGCCTTTCAGTGCGTTCTGTTAGTACAGCAGTGTTGACGCTCAGGTCCTGCAGGACGTCTTGACGTGACAGTTACTTCGCCCCTCCTTGGCCCCTCCTTGGCCCTCACGGGGCACATGTTCTTCTTGGAAACTGAACCCTCCTCAGTGTTCTGAAATGTTTGTTTTATTCACGCACAACAATTTATATTGGCATCTTTTAATGTTAAAATTGAAGCTATGAGACATTTGTATCGGGATATGCCCTCTGGTACAAATATGGCTAGAAACGTTCACATCACTGTCCAATATTCCTTTCCTGTTGTACCAATGGCGGTTCCCTATGATGACACCTCCGCCACACTGAGTGACCTTCAACAAGTGTACAACCATGTCAGTGGGTACCGCTGAACGGTCTCACATTCCTACACCCAACACAGTCTTGAGTCTAGAAATATTTCATGTGTCCAGTCGACTTGTTTATAATCAACAATTTCATGACCGCATCTTCATCTCAAGACACATAGATCAGTAAATCACTTTCAGTCAAGAATTTGGAAAATTTGTCCCTCAACGTTGGTCACACATCCTCCAGAAAATGCTGTCTCCGCAGAAATCCGAAAGACGTTCCAGGTTCCATACACACGTGCAACATTCTTCCTCCCAGACGCATGCTACATACTCTCCTTCAGGCACGTGTGTTGCATTCTCACTTCCAGACACACGTGCTGCATTCTCACTTCCAGACACACGTTATGTTCTCTCATCCAGACACACATGCCACATTCTCTCTCCCATTAACACATGCTACATTCTCTCTCCCATTAACACATTCTACATTCTCTCCCATTAACACATGCATTCTCTTCGACAGACACACACAGACCGACATCCTACATTCTCTTCTCTTCGACAGACACACATGCAACATGCCTCCTACATTCTCACAGACAGACACACATAACAGACCAGACCGACATCCTACTACATGCCTATAACAGACCGACATCATTCTCACAGACAGACACACATGCAACATGACATCCTATAACAGACCGCAACATGCCTATAACAGACCGACATCCTACATTCTCACAGACACACACATGCAACACATGACATCCTACATTCTCACAGACAGACACACATGCAACATGCCTATAACAGACCGACATCCTACATTCTCACAGACAGACACACATGCAACATGCCTATAACAGACCGACATCCTACATTCTCACAGACACGTGGAATATTCTCTCACGCACATACACGTGCTACATTCTCTCTTCCAGACACATGCTAGATTCTTTCCCCTTCAATCTCACACACCAACGTCTCGGGGGCCGCTAGTCATAATGGCGTTATTTCCAAAATGCGAGTTACCCTTCGATTGCGATTATCCTCCCTGAAGTCAGCGCTCTCCTTAGAGGTCCCGCGGGGCACCAAAACGCTGGGCCTGCTGGCGTTACACCGCGGGATCGTGGCGCTCCTGATGAGCGAGTTCTTTGTGAAACCTACGATCGAGTTGTTGTCACTATCATGTTCATACGCCCTGTTCACATGAGAGATAATAGAATTGGACAGTTCCCTTGGATCTGACGTCACTCGGTTGGTATGCGTAGCATGTGTTGGTTCAGTTAATGTATTCACATGTGAGGAAATGGTCGACTGTTCGTAAGGATCTGGCGTCAGTCTGCAAATATTGCTGTGGTTTGGTTCTGCTACCGTGGCAGCAAGATAGTCAGGGTTTGACGCTTCACAGTTCTCAGACGTCACACGGTTGCTATGACAACGAGCCGGTTCGGGCAACCTGTTCACACGTGAGGAAATGTTTGTTGGTCCATAACTCTCTGACGCGACTCTTCTAAGAGATGGCCATGCAGATTCTGTTGATTTATTCACACGTGAACCGAGTAACTCATGAGGATCAAGCTTCAGACGTTTCCCAGGCACTGTAGCGCCCTTCGAACACTCCCCGGAATCTGACGTCATGCGAGGCTTCGGTGTGCAGCTACCAAGGTAACCACTGTCCTCCCTAGAAGCTTCTCTGCAAGGCGTTGACGTCACAGTTGGCATCGGCTTCAGAGCTGAGAGTCTCTCTTCTCGCATGTGAGTCTCACAGTAGGCGAGACTTGGAAGCAAGGCGGAATGGCTACCCTCCCGGGTGTGTGTTCCACAGTCAGGGATGCTGGTCAGCATGGAGAACTTGACTGTGGGGGACCCCGGAGAGTCCTGGTCAGCGCGGGGCAGGACCTTGGTGAAGCCGTCCCTCCCAGTCAGGAAGAAGGTGTTCATGGTGCCCTTGCCCTTCACCGGGATCTCGCCCCGGTCGTAGAAGTGGTAACCAGCGAACCGGGACACCAGCTTGTCGTGGGCGACTGAGCTCATGTGGATCTTCAGCGCTAGAGATTGGATAGAAACAGATGAATATATTCTGTCTTCAGGGTCACCGGTTCACTACTGCTGGACCAGACAATCTAGTGATTGATGTCATGAGCAACACCCCATGTTGTGGGGGACCGAACCTTACCGCTCACTCTTAGCTGCCTGTTACGGCAAACAGTGTGAGGGGTCAATTGTAACATTGGCCCTTATGCAGTTCTACTGGGAGAAGCGGGCACCTTGTGTACAACGTATTCGAACAGTACTCTCAATGTTTAACTTGGACATGAAAGAGTAACAGATTATCATGGAAACTTTCATTGTCCTCATAGTATTACTTGTATATCAGTTCGAATGACTGCAATGAAATCGACATGAACAGTTTTTCAGAGATCCCTGTCTATCTCAGCACTAGGGAAGCCCAGTCAGTGGTACTTACGGAATCCTGTAGACTCCATTCTGGAAGCTACGTTGACCGTGTCTCCGAACAAACAGTACCGAGGCATCGCTAGACCCACAACTCCGGCAACCACCGACCCTGTGTGGATACCTGAAGAGAGAAAACAGAACCTGTTATAGTCTGTCGCACCCTACATGAAGCTAGCTACCGTGGAAATGGTTGTCATTCAATATTTAAAGGGCCCGCTTGCGTCAAACGGTTCTAACGCTGCAACCAATACGGGTTCGATACAGGATATAACAAATGTCCGGATGAACGGGTTACTGGTGGGTACATTTAGACAAGCACAAATCTTCCGGGATTTCCGGACAAACGAGATTTCACTGTGTCTATTAACTATTTTCTATGAAAGGCAATGATTCCCCGACTGACCTATACGTATCTTGAGAGGTCTGTCTGGTAGATGAGGTATGGTGAAAGTGGCGGTGGAGGCGAGGATGTCCATGGCGCAGTCGGCGATCTCCTTGATGTGGTTGTCGCCGTTCCTCATCGGCAGACCGCTAGCTATCATGTAGGCGTCTCCGATTGTCTCCACCTGAAAGGATTGTTTATTTCTGCGTGAGCGTACAAAACCAGCCCAGTTTTTCATTAGTAATCAGTCTTAAGAAACTTTGCCACATAAATGTTCAAATTAAACATTCTTGTCACATAACTCGGCTGTCTTCACGTTTGTAATGTCCCAGTATTATCAGCTTAACGGAAGCTTCGTGCATTGTATATGCAAATATTATTCATTATATTTTAATGTTTAAGTTTTACGACATAATAACCTTATAGTTTCTGGTCGGAAAGGAAGCCCAGAGAATAGGAATGCCACACTGTGACAGCTGACATAGCAGCGTCCTTAGACGTATGCTGGTTTAGACACAACGCCTATTCGTCCTATGTGGTGTTGTCTCTACACGTGTTGTGAACTAATACCTTTCATAGGCACAAAACCTCGACCTTGGAGCACACGGCTCCAACCAGCCTAATAGGACCTCTGCTTATCTAGCCTGAATCCATGGTGGAATGAGTTTCATATAGCACGGGAACAATAACGAAACTTATAGAATACTTCCACGAGGTTCCACTTTATTTCGTCCTCCATTTAAGTGTAAATTTAATTTGTGGTAATTCCTACACAAAATGGTTATGGATCAGGCGGGATCTAGCGTCAAGCCACTCCACTCCATCTCGGCCAAGGTAATATGGAGTCGGCCAGACATACAGAGTGGGACTGGATGGTGTTTGTACGTCTTTGTGAAATATATCTGCCGAGGTTCTGGTACCTTGAATGCCAATATCTCCTCTGAAGACAAACAGTCGATCAATTCAAATCCTAGGTTAAATCTTCTACATATGTAGTTGATAGTTATGGCGTTTGTTAGTCATAAGGCTCGGACTCGAATCTCAACATATATATCTCAACAATATACATGGATCGTTGTTTTGACAATATAGGAGAGGTGAGAAAGGTGGAATTCCCACCCAGAGCGTCACATACTTCTAGTATGGGCGTGTGAGTGATTGAGTTGGGTTTTACACCGCTTTTAACAATATTCCAGCGGGGAACACCAGAAATGGGCTTCACACAATGTACCCATGTGGGGGATGGAACCCGGGTCTTCAGCGTGACGAGCGACGCCTTAACCACTCGCCTACCCCACCGCCCTCTTCCAGTATGGAGACGTATTATGTTTTCATATTATTATCTAGATATTAGGGGATATTCCGACCATGAAGATGTTGGCGGGGCTTGGCAGTGAATGGTGGACATACGTTATAGCATTAAATATGGATGGTGTTTGAAGTGAAGCGCTCGGGATGAACATATCCCAACTGATACAATTCTTGGATGAATGTTTGACACCCGGTAACTAATGGACGTACCTTGTACACGTCATAGTGCGTGATGATGTCATCAAACAGCGTGTACAGACAGTTGAGGAGATTCACAACCTGTAACAGAGTCATGACAGTTGGTGAAGGCTGGCTAACGCCCATGTGAGTAGTCTTGACTTAAGCACCGCACCATAGCACTCAATTCATACAAATGTCAGCCGGGAACTGCAGGTATCAATGCTTGACGGCATGCACAATATTCAACCAACACTGACTGACTGACTGAGTTTGGTTTTACGCCGCTTTTAGCAATATTCCAGCAATATCACGGCGGGGAACACCAGAAATGGGCTTAACACATTGTGCCCATGTGGGGAATCGAACCCGGGTCTTCGGCGTGACGAGCCAACGCTTTAACCACTAGGCTACCCCACCGCCCCTTCAACCAACAAGGTATATGGGATATGGCATTTCGACGAACACCTTCGTTTATAGATTGATTGTTCATGGTCTGACATCTCTTTACACGTCGAACTAGTGCAACTTCCGGGAAATACGAACAAACGAGTCACCACTGAACACTGTACGCGGACTTGGTTGTATCCTCGTCATATTTTAATGCTGTAATTCCTTGTTTCTTATACAGATTTGTCAATTCATATTCATAAAATAAACGAACTCGTTCAGCAGATATCGTTATAGATCTCCGATGAAATCAAATCCCTTAAATGGCATTAGCCTGTGTTTATTACGTCAGGTTCCATCGTCTCTCTTCACGTACATACCTGACTGGCTCATCCCGATACATCTGACCTCCAATTGTTCCAGACTTCTGTTAATACTACATAATGATAGGACATGAAAAGACGCGAATGCTGTTACCTCAATGGGTGTGCTCTCGCCACAGATCTTGGTGAAGCCCACTATATCAGAGAAGTATATCGTAGCCTGGTCAAACATCTCCGCCTTCACTGGTTTACCCAACTTGAGGTCCTCCGCCACGGACCTGGGGATATAACAGTCAGCATGAACCAGTGTCTTAACTAGCAATGGGGACTCTTTACTCTAGGGCCATTCTTTAATCTTTGTACTGGATTCCAAAGCTACACAACAAAACACAACTAGCTACACGCGTCACTCACTGTGGCAGCATCCGGTACAGCAGGTTCTCCGTCTTCCTCTTCTCCGCGTCCAACTCACTCGTCCTCTCCGCCACAAGCTCCTCCAGATGGTTGGCGTACTTCTCCAACATGGCGATCATGTTGTCGATCATCGTCATGTGTCTGTACAACCACAGCATACATTATACGTCATGTGTCTGTACAACCACAGCATATATTATACGTCATGTGTCTGTACAACCACAGCATACATTATACGTCATGTGTCTGTACAACCACAGCATATATTATACGTCATGTGTCTGTACAACCACAGCATACATTATACGTCATGTGTCTGTACAACCACAGCATATATTATACGTCAAGTGTCTGTACAACCACAGCTTATATTATACGTCATGTGTCTGTACAACCACAGCTTATATTATACGTCATGTGTCTGTACAACCACAGCTTATATTATACGTCATGTGTCTGCACAACCACAGCTTATATTATACGTCAACCCATCGTCATGTCTCTATACAATCCACAGCATACGTCTTAAGTCAAGTCTTGGTCATGTGTCTGTACAATCATAGTAGACATCATTCATATCAACTGGACTGCCAGTATGTCAGTATATTCGTATGTTCCATAACGACAGCATATCGTCTAAGTGAGTACATGTGTCATCTTTGCTACACAGGGAATGCTAACCACACGTCTTATACATAATGGAAATGACAAAATGGTCATTGTCTTAATTACAAAAATGGTTCTCTGTTGTCAGTATACATACTTGGATGGGTTGATTCTTGTGAGGGACTTGACCACCCTCGGGGCGGAGGGACGGGCACTGGGGTCCTCACTCCAGCAATCCTCGATCAGGGCTGCCAGGTCCGGATGTTGACGAAGCTCACGTGCAACTGACGGACGGAACCGAGTCTGTATCGATGGTTCCCGAACTTTACTGATGATTTCTGTGGGAAAATAAAAAACAAAGTGAGCCACTTTCCTTTGTGTGTAAAGGTGAGGGAATACCAGCAATGCACTTCGAACAAAGCAGATCCATCCCATCACTGGAATCTATGTATTGATCTACCCGAGGAACAGACGAAAGGGCACTCTGTGTACGGACCTACCTGAGGGACAGACGAAAGGGCACTCTGTGTACGGACCTACCTGAGGGACAGACGAAAGGGCACTCTGTGTACGGACCTACCTGAGGGACAGACGAAAGGGCACTCTGTGTACGGACCTACCTGAGGGACAGACGAAAGGGCACTCTGTGTACGGACCTACCTGAGGAACAGTAGAAAGGATACTCTGTGTACGGACCTACCTGAGGAACAGTAGAAAGGATACTCTGTGTACGGACCTACCTGAAGAACAGTAGAAAGGATACTCTGTGTACGGACCTACCTGAGGGACAGACGAAAGGGCACTCTGTGTACGGACCTACCTGAGGAACAGACGAAAGGGCACTCTGTGTACGGACCTACCTGAGGAACAGACGAAAGGGCACTCTGTGTACGGACCTACCTGAGGAACAGTGGAAAGGATACTCTGTGTACGGACCTACCTGAGGAACAGAAGAAGGGGTACTCAGTACCTACCTGAGGAACAGAAGGGGTACTCGGTACCTACCCGAAGAGCAGCAGAAGGGATACTCGATACCTATCTGAGGAGCAGTAGAATGGGTACTCGGTACCTACCTGAGGAGCAGTAGAATGGGTACTCGGTGTACGGGCCGGACCGTGTGAACACTTCCTTCAGAATGATGCCCACGGCATAGATATCCGCTTTTTGGAACTCAACATTCCTCTCAGCTCGCAGAATCTCAGGGGCCGTCCACAGTTCCTCTGCAAGTTTGTTTGTGTGACAATTAAATACCAGACATATTTACTCATCATCATTTCCATCATTGATTGTTCTTGTAATATCCATCACAAAGTAATCCTTATCATTAAGAGTTTCTTAAGTCTGTTTTATTAAATGGGACTAATTTCTGCTAATTAGTACACCAAAACGATAACCGGTTACCGCAATGCGTCACTTCCGGTACACTTACTGTCTGCGTTCTCCTCGAAGGGTATCGACGCCTTGTCCATCGACCTGATTTTAGGGACCCCGAAGTCCGTGAGTTTACATGTCCACCGACTGTCCACAACACAGTTGGAACTTTTCAAGTTGCCATGGTAGTTGACTGAACTCTTGTGTATGTATTCCAGACCCTGTGATTGAATAACATATGAATAAGTACCGGTGGCGGAGCATTGGTCTCCTTTCAGCCGTAAGATGGAAGCATGAGTTGTTGTTTGATTACTTTGTATATGTATAACGACAATGCTGTATTAAATGAAAGACCGTTGTTAACATCATACAATCCCTTTGAACCATTACAAACATTGCATATCGAATAATATTTTTTATGAGTTTTGTCCATGTGTTTTCATCAAATAGGAGACTGGACACCATGAAACAAGGTAAAGAACTCAAACCACCGGAGGTCTAGCCTCGCGACACATAAACTGTCAACGACCCAGGTAAGTGTTCAGCACTTATAGTTTTGAAGTCTCCTACATTGTTCTTAACAGGTTTACTAGTTCTATTTGGACCCCTGAACAACCTACCTTAGCGACGTCCTGACACAGGGCGAACTTGAAGAGCTGATCCAACTTGATGTTGGTGTTCCAGATGATATCCTGAGAATATCAAGAGTTGACGTGAATAAGCGGAAACGTGCAAGATCCACTGAATATGTACTTGTAGTGTTGTTCCTTCACTGAGAAACAGACCCGAGTCTTACATCAGTGAACGTGCAGAATGATTATATCAACCATGTCAGATACCACGACACAAGTTTAGATGCAAGGTGGACGGGAATCACAGTTTTGTTGGTACAGACGGGTTAACTATGAAGTGTGAGGACGCTCATTATGATCAGGAAGGGGATTGGATGGGGCGGTAATGCTTCATTGACACCCATGACAACCGACATCGATGTGGATTTGCCGTTTGTGAGAGTGGCGGGGGCTGTGGACATACTGACTCGTTTCGCGAACAGATGGTGTCATCCCTGATTTTCATTTATAAAAGGTATTTTTATAGACATTTCCCCTGTTTTCTGGTCTTGATGTCAAGGATTAATGATGACAATGGATATGATTTTGACGCTTTTCACAGATGGAGGTTATTCAATATTGGGCCACGTTTAATGACCTACCTGTAAACTGCCCTTAGGACAATACTCCCACAACAACAGAATCCTTCCTGGATCTACGCAAGCGCCAACAAACGCACAGACGTTCTGATTCTTGAGTTCCATCAGCTGGAAGACAATGTGTATAGTTAGAGGACTTCCTGGAGGTAGTGGGTGGAAGCAAGGGTTGTCCATCATGACTGGTCGCTAACCTTCCTCTCAGCTGTGTCATGACTGGTCGCTAACCTTCCTCTCAGCCGTGTGAAGGCGATTTAAAATAGTATTCCAATTCAGATAAAATAGTGCATGGAAGAAAGAATGAATGAATGAATGAATGAATGGTTAGGTGGACGCTGCTTTTCATTGTTTCAAGCAATGTTCCAATAATATTAGGCTTAAAACGGTCCTACAAGCTGTACCACGATGGGAATAGGACCCTGTGCGGTAAGTAAACGTTACCCACGAGGCTACTTGGCCGCCATGAAGATATGTTCTTACCTGGTTGAGTTCCTGCAGAACCTCCTTGGTCAGACTGACGCTGTTCTTGGACATCCTCTTGACGGACACCAAGCTCCCTAAACACAAAGCCGTGATTTAGTAAGTATCTGCAGCGTTATTTTGACTTCGTCACTCATTTATTCATTACTAGTGTATCATTAACTGCTTGAGACGTATTCCTAATACAATGCTTACAGAGTGAGTGAGTTTAGGTTTACGCCGCTTTTAGCAATATTCCAGCAATATCACGGCGGGGTACACCAGGAATGGGCTTCACACATTGTACCCATGTGGGGAATCGAAGTCGGGTCTTCAGCGGGACGAGCGAACGCTTTAACCACTAGGCTACCCCACCGCCCCTGTTAACAGACAACCGATGAAGTCTTGAACGACTTGAATGAAAGGCTGCCCATGAGTCCCAGACAATGTTCCCATTTTAGAATATTGTGAGTTATGTCTGTAAGCACTCTCACGGTATTCTGTTACGGTGCTGTACACTACCATGATGCACTATTATGGTACACCTTCATTATACACTACCATGATGCACTGTTATGGTACACCATCATTATACACTACCATGATGCACTATTATTGTACACCATCATTATACACTACCATGATGCACTATTATGGTACACCATCATTATACACTACCATGATGCACTATTATTGTACACCATCATTATACACTACCATGATGCACTATTATGGTACACCATCATTATACACTACCATGATGCACTATTATGGTACACCATCATTATACACTACCATGATGCACTATTGTGGTACACCATCATTATACACTACCATGATGCACTATTATGGTACACCATCATACACCATATACACTACCATGATGCACTATTATGGTACACCATCATTATACACTACCATGATGCACTATTATGGTACACCATCATTATACACTACCATGATGCACTATTATGGTACACCATCATTATACACTACCATGATGCACTATTGTGGTGTATACACCATCATTATACACTACCATGATGCACTATTATGGTACACCATCATTATACACTACCATGATGCACTATTATTGGTACACCATCATTATACACTACCATGATGCACTATTGTGGTACACCATCATTATACACTACCATGATGCACTATTATGGTACACCATCATTATACACTACCATGATGCACTATTATTGTACACCATCATTATACACTACCATGATGCACTATTGTGGTACACCATCATTATACACTATCACAGATGCCTCATGCGCGCATTACCTCTGATATATGCGACAGAACCAAACATGGTGGTGCCAGTCTCCGTGCAGTGATGTGACCTTGGCGAGTCTGTGTAGGAATCGCCTGAACTCCCAACATTGCGCGTCTTGGTTACTCCCTTCACGTTCTTGGAGCTGCGACGTCGTGCGAGGTTCTTGAAGCTGGACTGTGGACGTAATGAGAGTTGGTGTTTCAGCGATATTCCAGTGTAGAAAAAAATCTATCAGGATGGGGACACAAATAAGAGTATGGAACCGAACACAGACTCTATGCGCGAGGAGAGAACGGCCAGCAACTAGGCTGACCCACCAGGTTGTACAATGATACTCTCTACTGGGTGCGAGTGGGCTACTTACTATGTCCGACACATATGGTATAATAAGGGCTGGAAGATTTATTGAGATGACGGATAAAACTATTAAGGGTAAATAGATCAGACGAGGCGTGGTGAAAAGGGGTTTAATGTCGCGTTCTAGCTTACGTCACTAGCTTACGCGACATGCCAGTGTGTGTCTACAGGTGCTTGTGTGCATGTGTCTGTGTGAGAAACAATATGTGTGGGTGGTTGAGATGGGTGGTAGGGTAGGCGGTACTCTTACAATATGTGTGGGTGGTTGAGATGGGTAGTAGGGTAGGCGGTACTCTTACAATATGTGTGGGTGTTTGAGATGGGTAGTAGGGTAGGCGGTACTCTTACAATATGTGTGGGTGTTTGAGATGGGTGGTAGGGTAGTAGCGGTACTCTTTACAATATGTGGGTGGTTGAGATGGATGGTAGGGTAGGCGGTACTCTTACAATATGTGTGGGATGGTTGAGATGGGTGGTAGGGTAGGCGGTACTCTTACAATATGTGTGGGTGGTTTGAGATGGGTAGTAGGGTAGGCGGTACTCTTACAATATGTGTGGGTGGTTGAGATGGGTAGTAGGGTAGGCGGTACTCTTACAATATGTGTGGGTGGTTGAGATGGGTGGTAGGGTAGGCGGTACTCTTACAATATGTGTGGGTGGTTGAGATGGGTAGTAGGGTAGGCGGTACTCTTACAATATGTGTGGGTGGTTGAGATGGGTAGTAGGGTAGGCGGTACTCTTACAATATGTGTGGGTGGTTGAGATGGGTAGTAGGGTAGGCGGTACTCTTACAATATGTGTGGGTGGTTGAGATGGGTGGTAGGGTAGGCGGTACTCTTACAATATGTGTGGGTGGTTGAGATGGGTGGTAGGGTAGGCGGTACTCTTACAATATGTGTGGATGGTTGAGATGGGTGGTAGGGTAGGCGGTACTCTTACAATATGTGTGGATGGTTGAGATGGGTGGTAGGGTAGGCGGTACTCTTACAATATGTGTGGATGGTTGAGATGGGTGGTAGGGTAGGCGGTACTCTTACAATATGTGTGGATGGTTGAGATGGGTGGTAGGGTAGGCGGTACTCTTACAATATGTGTGGATGGTTGAGATGGGTGGTAGGGTAGGCGGTACTCTTACAATATGTGTGGATGGTTGAGATGGGTGGTAGGGTAGGCGGTACTCTTACAATATGTGTGGATGGTTGAGATGGGTGGTAGGGTAGGCGGTACTCTTACAATATGTGTGAATGGTTGAGATGGGTGGTAGGGTAGGCGGTACTCTTACAATATGTGTGGGTGGTTGAGATGGGTGGTAGGGTAGGCGGTACTCTTACAATATGTGTGGGTGGTTGAGATGGGTGATAGGGTAGGCGGTACTCTTACAATATGTGTGGGTGGTTGAGATGGGTGATAGGGTAGGCGGTACTCTTACAATGTGACCCACATAAACGGCATGTGTACTAATAACTGGAGTTACCTACCCTGACGCTGCCACAGAGAATGGCCGTCACGAAGTCGATCTCCTCAAACTTCACTTGCCACAACATACTCTCCAGCTGTCGGCGACGTCGGTAACGTCTGAAACGGCATGACAAAATTTGTCACAAATATATCTATAAATACACACACGCATGTGGGACCCCGGGTATTGTTCAACCGGGAAGGATATTTCTTGACCGGAGTACAGTAGGAGATGTCGCAATGCTCACCTGAGTGACACCTGCACGGCGATGGCGATGATGAGGACGACTGACGACCCTGCCGCCGCCCCCGTGATGGTGTCAGCGTAGCCGGGGTCGTGGGGGTCGGGCTCTGTGTAAATCATACTGATGTGTTGTAATAGCGCGTGAAGGAAATCACAAATTTTGTCGTCATTGTCCGTTCGTAACTGGCTAATACCAATATGTACCATGTTGCCGCTTTATTGCATATGGGCAGAGAAATCTGTAGGTGTATTTGCTGAAGGTTAAACGGGAATAACGCATTTGGCTACCAACATCATCAACAATCCATACTCCAAACTGGTCTGAGTGAGTGAGTGAGTGAGTGAGTCCTTAATAGGGAGGTACCAATACAAGCCATACCTACGAATGATTGTAGAAACAAACCAATTAAATAACTACACAACCCTTCTTGTAGACCAACGCTAAATTGTTAGATAAGATGCTGTTTTACCTATCTTGCACTTCTCTCCCTCAAAGCCACACTTGGGTATGTCTGGTGGCGCGTTCTCCTGGCCAACCTTCCCGTCGGGCCATCGGGCACTGATCTTCTTCTCCATTTGCTGCAAGACGAGGGAGGGCGTCATTTGTGAAACTGTTAAATGCAAAGACAATTCACAGGGCATTTAGTAGAGTATGAAAGCTTTACAAACGTTTATACCACTTACCGAGTAGACCATTCCCCCCGGTGAGGGTGTTGTAGATCTTGGTGATGGTGGTGAAGTTGCCGTCTTCCTGCATGTCAAGCAGCCAGATGTTGACCAGTCGGTCACAGAAGGTGTCTAGAACCAAATTGGCCGTCACACCTGTCGACGAAAATGACATGTCACAGTAAGTATTGTCCACGCACCTGTGCACAGTGGACAGCTGTATCAACAAAGCACATATCTCAGAGTCCCTGATTCTCCGGAGCGTTTTTAGCGGTATTTCTTTACCTTATGATCTGGTTTCCAGGTGTTTAAAATCATCAGCACTTTGGGTTAAAGTTCGTATAAGAGGGCTGATAGTATGAGCAAAAGAATATCACATTTTCCAAGTTCTGTTTCCTATCAGTTTTTAAAATATATCCACGGAAACAAAGTAACAGACTCCTTGTAGTACTCGTGAAATTATGGCTTGTTATTCAAAACTGGCTTCCGCGGGCGATATCAAACGATACGTCCCAGGATAAATATTTCAGAATGATTTTCATTTGTTTATTCGTCGGTTACCTTTCCACTTCAAAAATATTAAACACTGATCTCGCTAGAGTTGACTCTGGTTAGTTCTACTTTATTCAATACTGCATATTGCTGTTCACAAACTGGAAGAATGGTCCTGGAAGATTGAATAATTTGTAACCTAAAATTCGACAAGTCTCGGAGGTGTGACGCAGCGATCGCTGCGATTATCTATGTATCTTTTGTTTGAGATGATATTTTCGGAAATGGCATTATCAGGTACAGAGGAAAAGGAATACCAAAAACTGGAAATATTTTTACCTATTCCCAACTTGTGGGGTCCTGTAAACTTAAACCAAGCTACAAACATGGACGTCTTACCAGTTGTCTGCACCCCCTGCGCCATGGAGAACATGTGGGTTCCGTTCGTCGGATTCTCCCCGGCTACCATGGACTTGTTGACCAGAATCGCCCACAGCAGGGTAGCGTCGTACAGAAACGGGGCATAGGCGTCTAGTTGCTTTAGAGATGAAGGATTTAGTTATATATGAAAAGTTTGGCGATAGGCTGCATCTAACATTTGAAGGTAGAAAACAACTGGGCTTCATATATTGTTTCCATACTGGAATCAAACCGTTAATTTTGCGAACCAAAATTTAAACCACTAAACAACCCACACACCCTTATCATTGGACCAGTGTGTCGCTAATTCAACATCCGCATTTCAATGAATCCGAATTTTAATATTCACATAAATAATAGCATTTATAATGGCTCTCTGAAACGTTCTATTAGAATCTCATAGGGTTTGGACGAATTCTGTTCGTGATATCCAAACGTCGACATGAACAAATACGTTGATTATGGCTGATGGAAAGACGGGGTTGTTCTGTCCGACTTCAGGTGAGTTAGGGTTGATTGTTACATGAAGATACTTACGTCTGACCCTCGAGGGATGTCCCAGAGTTCATCAGTCAGTGTATTCATCTTCTGCACATGGTTTTTGAACTTTTTGTACGTCTGTTGTTCTTGACCCACCAAAATAACCTGGAGGGAAGAGTGAGTGAGTAACGCCCCTTTGAACAATGTCACGTCGGCTTCATGCCGTGGATACTTAGAGATTTCTACGTGGGACAAATACATCGATAGCGCTGCTGACAAAACAAGGTTCAGAAACGGGATTCGACAGGATTTTCTCGTAACACGGCTATAACATATGCTATCTCAGAATCTTGTTTCTCAAAAGGTATTGTAATTACCAATTTGCAAATGTTTTCTAAACGTAGTTATACATAATCCGGGTCTGTCAGTCACTTACGTGGATCACGGACTCAAACGCAAACTTTGCTTCTTCATCAAAGGAATCGTTTCGTCGCCACACACGGTCTGATAAAACATCTGCCTCGAGCGTCTCGCCCGAATACACCTTAACAAAATGAAAATGTTGGTGTAATGATTTCTTTTCTCCTTGTACTGATTAATTGGAATGTATTTACAAGAGTTATATATTCACGAGAAAACTGAAAACGTTATGCTATATGAAGTGGGTGGAGAGAAAGAGTCTTCAACATTGTTGTTTTAAGCGCCTCGTGGTCGTCGTAGTGAATGAGAGACAGACTCACATCTCCGTTGATGCAGATGAAGGCGAACTCCCCCCGTCGTGAGCCCCAGTCGGTGAGCCACCAGGATGTACTTCCTCATCGTCAACCACGGCACGGCGAAGATGATGACTGGGAAGACAATGGGCCATGCATCAGTATACGTCCTACACCTACACTACTCACGTACACGAGAGTAAAGGAAGCTCTTCTCTGACCCTCACTGATTTGTCTTGTCCTCAGTGTTAAGCTGACAATAATAAAGCCAGTTTGGAGTTGACTTCAAGTGGTAATGTTCATTAGTTTGAGAACCACTTACTTCTGGCGTACTTCTTGACCTGAAGGAAGATTTCTTTGATCTCATCGTCGTCCATGGTCGGGGTCACAGAGTGCGTGGACGTGAAGAAGTTGGTGGTGTCCCCAGCCAGAGCTTCGTACACCGACTTGTAGGATTCGTCTTTATCGTGGATCATGGCGTAGCGCTTCCAGTTGAACACGCTCGAGACGTAGCGCATTGTTGTGGCTGCGCACAGAACGTTGGGTAAGCAAAGGAAACGGACATTCTGACTAGTGATTTTGTTCTTCGGGAAGAAGAAAGAACACTGTCTTTCACTGAGTCACATGCATACTGGGAAACGAAAGGATGAATGAATGACTAGCAGACAAAACAACAGAGAGACATACATGTGCGTGTGGAGAGCTGCGTATACTTACAGAACTGGTTCAGGGGTCCGAGAAGTCTGATGAGGGTAGAGTAGATGCTCCTGTCTCTGAGGTCGTGGTCGTTGGAGACCCAGCCGAAGACGGGGATGTTCCAGTGGGACGCCAGCTGAGCCACGGGACGCATGCCTGGGGGTACAGAGGGTGGTAAACGTAAACGCAGGAAAGACGTTATGGGCTGAGAAAGTGTATAATTCGTTGCTTTTACTCTACACAGTAAAACAAGGAAACATTGATAAACTAGGAAACTACTATGTCCATCCAATGTAGCTTGTAGCATTAGATGCAATATTTGACATCACTTTTAGTGTTATGTTCTATCAAATGTAAATTTGAATATTCAAATTGTATGTTTTCAGTCGTCCTAAATGCCTTGACAATTTTTTTATTTCGAGTTGACTGAATGTACTCCCGCTCGGTGGTAATGGTAATTCCAATATACCACATGACTGTATGCTCTCACATACCATAGGCCATATAACGCCGGCGAGTAACACGATCGCAAAGATATAGACAAGAGACTGTTCAAACTCTTTTTTAATAAACTCTTCACATTGTTCCATTCTTATCTTTATGAAAGTGCAATAATGAAAGAAGTAATCAGAAATCAGAAAGAAAGTTCTGCAATGTCATCATTCTGAATGTTTATCATGGGGATCGTCTTGCTACAGTTAACAGATCCGGGTTAGAATGGATCTTCAGTAAGCCATGCTTGTCGTAAGAGGTGACTAAAGGGATCGGGTGATCAGGTTCGCTGACTTGGTTGACACGTGTCATCGTATCCCAAATGCGTAGATCGATGCTCATGATGTTGATCACTGGATTTTCTGGTCCAGGCTCGATTATTTACAGACTGCCGCCATGTAGCTGGAATATGACTGTGTGCGACGTAAAATTAGCCTCACTCACTGCAGTTTACATAAATACAGACCCGTTAAACATGGCTATCTCACTATAGCGCGTCCTACCTGCGGAACACGGGGGTCCAAGGAAGAGATGTGGGTCAAACGTGCTCTTGGCGTCGACGGCGGAGGTGAGAGCGGCCTTGGAGTTGCAGTCACTGTCATACCATTTCACCCTGGACACACGGAAATAGATGTTTGGTCATTAAATAGAAACATTAACCAAACAGAATCGGATGTTTTAATACTGCGAGATACATCTAAGCGAGCTCACATAACTGTTATTTTGCAGGCGACATCATGTCAAAATGTCCAGTTTCAGCGAAACCGTTTCCAAATTGACTTTTCAGCTGAGTAGGTTTTCCCTGACACGCTCAATGAATAGAGTCTAATGAACATCAGGAAAGTCCTTGTTTCTTCGCCCGGACAATCACTAACTCGCATGACAACCCTGGACTTTACGTGGGCCTGAGTATGGTAGACAGATAAATTTTGCATTGAACCCTCCCAACCCAGTCCGCCCATGTTTAACGTATAGAACCCTACAAGAGTGTGCAATTATTGTACAAGTGTATACAGTATGTCGTAACGTCTTCATCTGTTTTCAGAGCGCTTCAACTTGATGTGTTAAACGCGCACCTGCACCGCCATACGTACTAACGTTGTGTCTTACGTACAAACTTACAACTTACTTTATAGACTTCCTGCTTGCCATTCTTCCTTCCTTCTTACATCAGTTTACACTTATTACTTTTCTTGCCATACTGACTCACAAAATGATTGGCCCACTTACAAATTAAATTCTTGCCTTAATTACTTACTTACTTCCTGAAGTTTCTACAAACTACTTACTATACTAATTAAAATTTTCCTAATCGTATTGACTTACTCTGTGGTTATCCCCCCAACCTGAATGGTTTAAATATTTGATGTCTTTACTGACGCACAGCCTTATGGGCAAGGGGAATCCAGTCGTCTTTTAGACGAGCCAATGATCATTGATTAGGAGTGAATTTGATTGTGAGTTTCTAGGTGTCTCCTCACAGACTCGTGTTCATGTGTTTCCAGTAGACATCTCAGATCTGTGCCACTTTCAACTTTTCTCCAACATGAGTCTCACGGCCGTTCTATAGCTGGAATGCCAAACTCTCATTTTGTGCGTATGTGTGTGTGTGCGTGCGCGTGTGTGTGTGTGAATTTCGTTTTGAATTTACCAACGACTTTTTGTTTACTCGCTCGCGACTTCATTCTATTCGTATAACTGTGGAATATTTAGCGCTTGAGCAAATAGATCACAACAAAATTACGAATTTGAAAATTATAACTTAAGTTAAATTATATTCTTGAAAACAAAGGCATTGGATGTTTTCATTTTGAAAGATTTCATGGAATTCTATTTTTTTATTTCATTTTTACAAAATATGGCCATTGTATGACTGCTAATGTGACATAAACTTCATGTTGCCTACCAGAGAGATGACAGATATCACATTCGCAGCGGAATAGTGTGGACTGGATACGACAGTTGTTGTCAGAAGTTTCAACAGGTTAAATATGAGCATCAGTTGGGCGTCGCTGACATTTAGATTGTTTTATTGGAAAACATACAGTGGGATGTGAAGTTATTGCCAACACTACCGCCACGCCCTCTGTAATCCGCATATTGTTTTCCGTCCAGGTCTTTGTTATTTCCTGTATGAACCGCGCTGAACCTGCAATGTACATTGGATGGCCAACATGTCTTCTGTGAACGACCCGAGGAGATTGACAATCTGCTTGTTATCACGATGGGTGATGTTCAGCAAGCGCGACAACGAGGCTGTTGGTGATATTTCAAAAACTGTCTGAATCTTGCTCAAACGTTTTGGATCAGGGTTAAAACATTAAAGGCCTTAGTAAAGATTTTGAAATCGTTTATGGCAGACAGATATAGCGATTCGTAAACAGATGTATCCCTTACATTTCCTAATGGATCTTAGTGATCTTAGTGTCATCCAGCTGGGGGTGGGGTGGGGTTCAATGACTATCTCTAACTAACAGCGCAGACCATTCACCGGGTCACCATACAGCTCATCTCTTGTTTCCAGTTGTTATGAGTGTGTACTTCCAAAACATATCGAAAACATATAGTAGAATATCGCGACTCAAAGGCATCTCAAAAAGCTGTTTCATGTCACGGAGCAGCTTGGTCCTTTACATCTGCCATAAAGAAGAAACTGAACGCCTTAAAGGGATAATTCGCACAAACGAAACAATTCTGAGAAGCCCTGAACTCCCCTCTGTGTCCTGCTTGTCACACATACGCCATAAGTGTCAGCTGTACGTGTCACATTCAAGGCTGGCCCGACACCCCATTGCTGGTGGGTAAGTAAACCAAAACATACACATAAATGTTTTCAAAAAGAAATATTCATATCTATCTAAACCAAACACGACATGCTTAGTCTCAGAACCCGAGTAATCTACGTCTGTCAGTGCATCTGGCATCATAGTTAATACAACATAGGGGACCATTCCAGAAAAACAAATGCCCTTCATCGCAGACACCTGTAGGACACCTGTAGGACCGTCGTGGTAGTCAGGGTTCAGATTGGCGTAAATCAACCTGTATTTGTTGTACAATACCTGTAAGATCAGGTTGTACGTGGCACGGTTGACAGCGTATCATCTCCTCCGAAAGCGAGGGACGCTGCTCACGTCTCTCACACTAGTTATCAAGTTACCCCTAATATTTCCGGAACGAATGAACTTTAGGAGACGCAATGCATGCACAATGCCATTTAGGAAGATGTAACATGTTATATTTGGGATTACACTTTCTCCGTAAAGTACAGATTCTAGTTCTTTTGTTGGGTTGAGTCCCATCAAGAGATTCGAACTCACATCTTCAGAGTCAGGCACAAAATCGCCAGCATACAAAGTGAGACGCCTAATCGATTTAGCTACTTTTCGCGTGTCACAGCCCCAAGACCAACAACCACAAAGCTAATATATCAACTTCCATGCCTTCACAAGCATCACTGTTCATGTTCCCTTCAATACACAGAGGGGCGTTGCCCTTAACACAGATATGCCACCCCTCACGTTAAATTTCGGACTGTACTTTGGGCGCTGATACAAAGGTTTTTCAGTTTGTTTGGTCCAAAATTTCAGTGTACTAGGAAAAAGCCACACAGAACTTTCATCTGAGAAAATCACATTGTCACAGTTAAAATTTCTATGCTGTAAGCACCAGTTCAACCTTTGCTCCTTTTGTTCAGGTTTCATGATCGGTGATGGAATTCCTCGACTTTTCTGCCAACCCATTGCATGCAGCTCAGTTCTAATTGTCTCCTTACAGACAGCCACAGTTCCTCTATCAATCATATCCAGCCTTAAGTTTTCTAAACTCCTTCGTTTGTTTTTAGAAACAAGAATACCAAACCGCCCCCTTCACCGACAGTCAATTTTCTGGGCCTACCTGCGCCTCCCTGGTTCTCAATGCCATATCCATTCGTAATATTTTTCAAAACACGATAAACAGTGGACAAAGGGATGCCTAGCTGTTCTACTTGAAATCACTTTACCTGATCTGATGTCCTTGTTATATTACAAAGGGGATAACTCTTCACAAACTAATGAAAAAGGATTAATGGAGTTATCTCTCTTGAATGAAACCAAGCACTTGATAGCTGGTCAATGTTGTTTATACTAGAAATCCAATTAAACATATTCCTAAAATTCTCAATAATTTCTGGTCATACTGTACTTGTACATTGTCCCCCAAACTCCCTTTACTTTAAGTACGGACGTACAGGCAGACAAACATACAGATAGACATACTCGCATATACATACATACATGCACGCACGCACGCACGCACGCACGCACGCACGCACACACGCACATACATACATACATACATACATACATACATACATACATACATACATACACACATACATACATACACACATACATACATACATGCATGCATACATACATACACTGGACTGACTAAGTATGGTTTTACACCGTTTTTAGCAATATTCCAGCAATATCAGGGCGGGGATACATAGAAATGGGCTTCACAAGTTGTACACATGTGGGGAATCGAACCTACATACCTTTGGCATGACGAGCGAACGCTTACATACACATGCATACATACATACATACATACATACATACATACATACATACATACATACATACATACATACATACATACATACATACATACATACATACATACATACATACATACATACATACATACATACATACATACACATACATACATACATACATACATACATACATACATACATACATACATACATACATACATACATACATACATACATACATATACATACATGACATACATACATCACATACATACATACATACATACATACATACATACATACATACATACATACATACATACATACATACATACATACATACATACATACATACATACATACATACATACATACATACATACATACATACATACACACATACATACATACATACATACATACATACATACATACATACATACATACATACATACATTTATTTTACTGATCAATCTGAGGATACCGGCAATAGCGGGTTTAAAGCAAATTAGAACGTTGACATGTATAGGCGAAAGCTTTAAATCCTTCCTCATTCATCAAGTATTCGCATTGATGGTTAGGGTTGAAGGAACCTTGCACCCTGGCGCTTCACCTTGTCGCCCTCGAGCTGGTCGCTATGACAATGATATATTGCTAAAGACAACATTAAAATGAAACAAGGAGTTTCACTTGTACGAATTTCTTCACTTTTCTTTTCCATTCCACAGCGGATTTTGAAGAACCATTATGGGGCGCTCGTCATCACCTGCCATGTTGGAGCAGTGTGCAGGCCGGAAAGATTCTGATAACACAGGCCATGCCTCGTGGTGGGGTTCACGTAAAAGGGGCACATTATAAATGCAGTGTCACTTATCAATATGCTGGAATTAACATGTTTATGATATAATATTGGCGCCGATAAATCACTTTCTTGGGGAAGGTTTCATCGGGCTGTTTACTCGGCTTTAGATAGTACGTCTTTGTAGAAACTGTCGGCGGTTAGAATTCAAAGGCTTTTCGAATACTAATAATTATATATGATATACGATATAAGCTACTGCATTTAA